AAAAATTAAAAATACCTTACAGTTTTTAACATTTAATCCTTAAAAAATATATTATATTTTTTAACAGATAAAGTATTTACTAAAATAAAAATTATAAATCTTAATAAATCTATTTTATCATCAATTTAAATAATATAGATTTAACTTGGATGATGAATTTAATATTAAATATTTTTATAATTTTTATAGATTAACTATCCAAATATATTTTAGGCGGTCTAGATTTAAAAATTTAAAATTATAATTTTTTTATTTTTTAAAGTTTCAATATGAAGGTTATCTTTATTTTTTAATATTATATTTATTAAAATAAAAATTTTTAAATTTTTTTAAAAATTTAAGTATTAAATTCAAACTGTCTAAAATATATTTAAATAATTAATTTATAAAAAATATAAAAAATAATATTAAATTGAATCAGATTAAATCTATATTATTCAAATTAATGACATGGTGAATTTATTAAAATTTATATTTTTTTATTTTAATAAATATTAAATAAAATATATAAATTTAGGGGGTCTAAATTGCTCATCTTGGCTATGGCTGTATTCTCTATTATCGTGTGACTCCTCTACTTTTTTTTCTTTTTTTAATACCGACTCCTCTATTTTATTTACAGGTAGAGACCCTACTCCTTTCATCTTTAAACGTAAAGACTATTTTTTTTTATTTTTTATTATAAGTAAAATTATAAAATTTTAAGAAATATTAATTATATTTTTTAAATTATCTCTATAAATGAATAGTATTATTAAATTAGAGAAAAAAGTAAACATTACTCATAATAATATTTTAATTTAAATATTTTAATTTCAAACATACTCCCTTCATTTCAAATTACAATACACTTTTACGTATTAATAAATTTTATCAAACATGTTTAACAATTTTATTTTTTAATAAAGATATAAACTTTTTAAAACACTCTTTATACAGTAGTTTGCACAAGTCCTTTTGCCAATATTTAATAGATTAATCATCACGGAATTTTTTGAGCAAATTATAATTATTTTTTAATTTTAATTTTTTCTGTAATTACCAGTGCTCATTGATGATTTCTTAAAAAATATATCCCGACTGAATTTTCTGATTTGCTTGTCAATATTATTTGAACTCAGGACCTCCGTTACGTCGAGGATCAAATCTTCCTGTTACCCTAGTTCAATTTCGATTTCAATTATTCGCTAATTATCTTGGCACGAAAGAAACAAATTAAATAAATATTAATCACCAGCATATTTGCAATTGTAATTCAATTTTTTGGGACAAAAACCGGGGTACCCTTTTCAAGCAAGCCCGTACTTCTTTTTGTTGGGCTAAGGTCCATGCCCTATATGATAAACCCAAAGTAAAATGCGCTCACTCTGATCCAATAACATGACCAGGTTTGTCCTGTCACTCAAGTTTGTTAAATTCACTTTTATCAAGTTATTAGCTGTCCCAGATTATCACTGTCGTTCTTTTATGCTCCTATATTCAATTTAATTTCTAATCGCTGCTGCCTATGCTCCATTGCTCCGGCACTGCTGAGACCGTATATCTAATCTAGGGTTTTCTGAATCCAGTCGACATTCTGGCTGTCTCCCAAAACGATATCTCATACTGGGTTTTATTCTTCAAACGGTGAAAAATCATATCTTTTGACGTCTAACTTGTTGGCAAAATATATTAATGAGTGATACATACAATATTACAGTACTGATAGAATTCTAAAAGGGATTGTACTATGCTCCCTCCATCCATATATATATATATAAATAGTAATGTTTTAGTTTGTCTCTAATTATTGTAAATAAAAAATAATTTTTTTAAAATAAATTTATGAGCACTTATCTTTTTTCCTTTTTAATATAATAGAGGTATAGTGGTTTATTTATTAAAAAAATATGATGACAACATTTTATATTTAGAAATAAAAAAATATTCTAAAAAACTTTTTGTATGCAAGGATGGAGCGAGTAATTTCAAACGAAATATTGAATTTTAAACAATCCACACAATGAGTCCACCTGAACTCTGAACAAAAGAATGTAACTCGAGGCTATATTTTCAGAGCATATATTGACTCTTGCACCAGGTGACAAAATTGTTGTTGATAACTATCATTGCTGGGTACCATGTTTTTATAGATAATATATTGTACCTGCGTGGTGTTATTCATGTAAATTTGATTCACTCTATCGTTTTGAAATAGCCCTTGCATATATTTGGATGCTACGAAGATGGCTATTTTATATCGGGAAGGCAAGCATCTACACAAGCTTACGAGTCTTTTTGTTTACAGTTCCCAAAATAAAATAGTCAAACAAGAAGAGATCCAAAGGAGAAGAAGACTTTTTCACTTCTGAAGTTTATATCCAGCGAAAGAAGCTTGATGTTGAGCTAGAGGGGACAGAGGAAAGTGTGAGGAAGCGGGGTGCATGATATAAAATACTTAGTAGATACGAATGGTCCAAAAGTCATGTAGTAGCTAGCATTGAAGTTGATTTAAATTATCTGAAACCTGCACCTAGTAGAGAAGGCAGCATATAGTGCATATGCCTGTCTTCTGACTGGATGGACATGTCACAGAGAACCATCAACTTCGGAACTTGAGAATTTCCTGCAGTTTATATTACCTGGTGGCTTCTTCTGCCTGCTTCGTACACATTATGAAAATCAAGGTGTTAGCCGAACGAGAACCAAAAAATTCAAACTGAGGCTGAAATACGGAAAGTTTTTTATTGTGATCTATGCAACAGGCAATAGAAGTTAGCAATGGAATTTGAAGAACATCTGAGCTAGTATGATCACAGTCACAGAAAGGTAGGCACTTGGTTAACTTAAATAGCTTTTTATCTCTGATGCAACTTCCCTAATAGGGTTTACAGTGCTCCAAACAGATGGAGGAAATGCATGGTAGTAGTAGCCGGGATGACAGGCAAAAGCGAGACCAGAAACTTCAAGAGCGAGGAATGGCTAAGTTTGCCCAAATGTGTCGTTGCTTTGGTACCTGATATTGTGCTCTTTCTCAAGCCTCTTATTATCTTCATTTATTCACCCTATTTTTGGGTCATAGATGCCTAGTTGGTGAAAGAATTAATGTTATCTTGGTAGCTTCTTTCCATGTCATGTTGTGATTGGAATCTTTAATGTCAACCAGTGCTGATGCGTAGAAGCATCAGATTTAGCAGCAACAAGAAGAATCTGGCCTTGCCACGGTTTCCCCTGAATCTAAAGCTGCCACCACACTTGCTGATCATGACCAGCGGAAGGCTTTGAAGTTGGGGTTTTCTTCAAAAGGCAGTGCTTTGAAGGTTTGCCCAACTGAAATATTTCATTATGTTTACTGTCTTTTCTCATACATAATTGGATGAATTGAGGGTTCTGGGAGGAAGCTGGTTCTATACCTCGGTTCTTAACCATGGTTATAGAATATGTGTGTGTGTGATTCTTCTCCCTATGCGCAGGCTTGTGAAAGTTATTTACAGTGTACATTATCTTATTACTTTCAACCCCTCTAATCTATTCCGAGTTATTATGACTAATGTATCAGGCTACCACCATTTTCATTTTTTCTTCTCTTCTCTTCCACTTCTTAGAAATCATCCGGGGGATCTGCAAAGAAGCAAAAGGTTGCCATCTCCTCTATATTTAGCAACGATGCTGAGGAAGAGTAGTGCAAGGATGCTGTTGCAGCCGAGAGTTAGCCATGTAACATTTCTCCTGTGTGGTTTTGTTTTGTATCTATTGGTATTTAGGAGTTAGAGAAGATTTTGAATTGCAGGATTTTCGTTTCGTGGTGGTGTCACTTGGTAGACTTTGGTAATCTGTTTGAATCTATACTTCTGGCTTGGTGTTGGCGTCATATCCATGTTAGCCTTTTCTGATGTCGAAATGCTTCACGAGATGAGTTTGTTTCAAATGTGGTGTGCAGCCCCTTATGAAAGCAGCATGGCAAAGGGTCGACATCGTGAAACAATTTCTCTCAAAATGATGAAGAGCGTGTATGTTGTCGTTGTTACGTTTGACCGTGATGCAATCTAAATGCCATGTCTTACTACGCCGCAACAACAGAAATTTTAAAATCTTGATGTTATTACTGGAAAAAAAGATTTTAATTCAATGAGATTTCTTTGTTTCGTTAGTTTTGATTTGAAGTAAAAAAACAAAAAGTTGATCAATGGCTTCAAGCTATAAGCTTTTGTCAAGATTTTCAATGTTGAAGTTATAATTAAAATAGAAGTGGGGCTAGCGGGTGTCTTTCGCAAAAAGAAGGTCAACAAACTACCGAGGCGGTGGATTGCAATTCATGGAAGTGGATGGATGTGAGCGTGACAGGAATTAGATTACAAATCCTACCCAAATAAGAATATTTATGTTTATAAATTATAAATACTCTCCTATGCTGCTCTATAACTTTTTAAGGTTTTGTTTCGTTTCATTAAATGTATTTAGTCTCTTGATCACTGCATATAGTTTTTTTTTTTTGGGCCCGAAGATCACCATTAGCATCAGATAACAGAATTTTATTATAATTATAAGTATTAATAGAGTATATTGGAACTGATCTTTTATTTCATTTAAAGTTTTAAAGCAATACATAGATATGTAATTTCAGTATTTCACATAAACTATTGAGTCTCATTTTTTTAATCTGAAAATTTCTATTTTATATTAGAGTAAGCTGAGCGGATAAATTTTAAAAAAAATGACAATAAGTCCCAATATTTAGAATTTATGATAGTTAAATTCTCAATAATTTTTTTAAAATAAGTTATAAAATATTGATTTAAAAATTATAAATTAAAATCAACATTTGCAATTAAAATTTTTGAGTTTGTGATTATTGAATTAACATTTACATTTGAATTTTTAAAAAATTTTATTTGGGATTTAACTATAATAAATTTTGAGTTTTGGATTTTATTGTCACTCTTTTTAAATTTTATTATTTTGATAAATTGAATTATTTGCAATAGATCTATGGAGTTATTTACGAACCGCTTTTCGGGAGCCATTTGTCCGTATCCCCCAACTCATTTCCTTGCCGTCTGTCGTGACTCGGGAGCTATGGCCTCGCTCTTCTTTTCCTCGTGTTCATCACTCAGCTCGTTAAAACCCTAGCCTTTCTTCCTCGTTCTCTACACCTTCCAATGGCTTCTCAAAACCACAGTCATAATCACAATAACGATGATAATCACCTCAACGGCGACTATTCTGTGTCTCGCGTGCCCAAAAAGCCCAAGCTTGGTTCCTTCATTACTGACTCCGAAATTCAATCCGAATTCGCTCACCATGACCCCGCCGTTGCTCGGATTAACAACGGTAGCTTCGGTTGCTGCCCCGCTTCTGTAATTGCCGCTCAGCAAAAATGGCAGCTGAAAAATCTCCGCCAGCCGGACTCTTTCTACTTCAACGAACTCACGAAGGGGATTCTTCAATCCAGGACTATTATCAGGGAAATTATTAATGCTGACCACGTCGATGAGATTTCCATAGTCGATAACGCCACCACGGCTGCTGCTATCGTCCTTCAGCAGACTGCCTGGGCCTTTCAAGAAGGAAAATTTCAGAAAGGGGACGTCGTTGTTATGCTTCATTACGCTTACGGTAGCGTCAAGAAGTCAATGGAGGCCTATGTTACTCGCGCCGGAGGCAAAGTTATTGAGGTCCAGCTGCCTTTTCCTGTGAGTTCTAATGACGAGATTATCACTGAATTTAGGATAGCACTGGAGAGAGGAAAGGCTGACGGTAGCAGGGTTAGGCTAGCTGTGATTGATCACGTCACTTCAATGCCAAGCGTGGTGATTCCTGTTAGGGATTTGGTAAAGATTTGTAGGGAAGAAGGCGTTGACCAAGTTTTCGTGGACGCAGCTCATGCTATTGGGTGTACTGATGTTGATGTGAAAGAGATCGGAGCAGACTTTTATACCAGCAATTTGCACAAATGGTTCTTTTGCCCACCTTCCATTGCGTTTTTGTACTGTCGGAAGTCGCCTAGATGCTCTGAATTGCATCATCCCGTGGTGTCCCATGAGTATGGTAATGGGTTGGCCACTGAAAGTGCTTGGATTGGCACGAGAGATTATAGTGCACAATTGGTGGTTCCCGCAGTTTTGGAATTTGTCAGTAGATTTGAAGGCGGCATTGAAGGAATCAAGAAGAGGAATCATGAAGCTGTTGTGGAGATGGGTCGAATGTTGGCCACGGCATGGGGAACCCATCTTGGTAGTCCTCCGGATATGTGCGCGAGCATGATTATGGTAGGGTTACCTGCTTGCTTGGGAATATTGAGTGACTCTGATGCTATGAACCTGAGAACACATTTGAGGGATGAATTTGGCGTTGAAGTGCCTATATATTATCGGCCACCAAAAGATGGGGAAATTGGATTAGTAACTGGATATGCCCGAATTTCTCATCAAGTTTACAACAGAGCTGATGATTATTATAAGTTCAGGGATGCAATTAATCAACTTGTGCGCAATAAGTTTACTTGTGCCCTCCTTTCTAATTGAAGAGGTGTTCTCTGAACTCGCTTGGATTATAACATCCGCTTTGTACAAGGTAGTTTCTTATTTATTTATTGGGATTTCAACAAATTTCGACTTTTAACTCAAGTTCACTGAGACTTTGAAATTTGAACTGATTCGATCGAACTAGTCCCTGTAAATGTCCAAGAAATAACTTTAGTCTTTGCAGTTTTATTTTTTAAAATATATAGAGACTAATGTTTTAAAGGGTTAAAATTACTGAAAGAAAGAGAAGAAAATAATATTTCTAAATGTATTTCTGTATGTTCCAAAACTGAACGTTCTGATGTGCTTGACTTCATTATATAGAGCTTAGTGAGTTGGACCTATCACAGTAGGCCAAGTACCAGACTTTTCAACAAACCAAACTATCTTAACAGATTATAACTAGTACTAACAAAAACTTATCAGTTATAACCATATATCTAATAAAAATTACCCTGCAGTTAAGTCAAAACTAAAACTACAATCAAATGATTAGTTTTCTTATTTATTTTATAATTTAATGTTTGCGAATATAGAGTTTTGATTAGATGGAATATGTATCAGTCAGCTCTGAAATTAATGACTGAACGCAAGTACTTGCCTTTAGCAGATGTAGAAAATAGAAATCCACTGGGTCATGCATGGCTTGACTTATCTAGAATCCCCCCAGCTGCGGAACATGTTAGCATCAACTTGGGTGTTTCTTCCATTCTAAAAGCTCTCGTGCTCAAGTGAAAATAAGCAACTTATATCCTAGTATGTTCCATGAATGCTTGGGAAATTACAAGGCTCTAGCGTGCAATCAATTATTATGTTTTATTCGAATTTGTCCGTCTGTATTTTTCAATTTCATTATTATCTAGCCTTCTTCTTATCATATACCCTGGAGATCGAAAAGCGTGGCTTCTACTTATGGCTTGTTCATTTATATTTTGTGTGTGTGGTAGACTGAAATCCCCCACCTCAGCTTCTTCCGGCCAAAGATAGAAGAAAAATCGTTTTTATTATTGAAGACAAACTATGAGGTTTGAACTTCCTTTTTTATTTTTTAATGGGATTTTTGTAGTTGTTAGTATCTCGCGAATCATGATGGAGCAGCTTTGGTATTCTCCAAACTCCACCCCAGTGTTGTGCTTACTACTGAGCCTGTTTCCTTTGCCAACTCATATTAGATCTAGCATAGAGAATCCCGTAGAAGTGGTTGGAAAGGGGGGCTAATTTATCATGAAATATCTATTTTATTTTTATAATTATTTTACAGTGTTGGTTCTCTTCCCCTCGTTTTTTCAGAGCCCAAAAGGTCTTTTTTCTATGGCGTCTTTATTCCCTTTCCAAAATAAGTTGCATGTCTTTGCAGCGGTTTATTTTATCATGAAGCTGAGGTTGTCTGCTTTTAGTAATTCAGATACGTGTTTGGTTTTTCTGGTGACTGGTAGCATGCCTCCTAAACCTCGTGTTTTCTGCTCCTTTTCTTTAAACAGATCAAGTTTTATCAATTACGTCTTTTTCATATTTATTCTTGCCATTGAAAGTAGTATAATTTTTAAGATGCAAATGGGAAAGCATCCTTGAAAAAGTTGCTTACTATGTCTGTGAAGTGCCAGTGTGGGCATCCCTTTTTTTTTGTCATGCGAAAGAACAGCGATTTTATGGAGTCGCATCAGTCAGCCATGTATAGTAGATTTAGACACACCGTATATATAGAGACTCAAGTACAGGACCATCCTAAAGCTGCGAAAGGTTCTTGCCTTACTTTTATGTCCAACCTGAGAATGCCATTTTATTTTCTTTGTTCCAATTGCTGCGAAAGGTTTTTTGTTCTTGCTTATTTTCTTTGTTCCTTATTTATTTACTCGTTGTGGATACCGGGGAGAATGACAATTTCTTTATATGCAGTGCATGGTAGGGGGTCTAGGAATCTTTCAGATGAATAACGGGAATAATTCAGTAGCTTACAAGTGTGGGGCCAGTAATGATGGTTTTGGTACCATGGAGTTTTTAAGTTGTAGAGATAGTGCAGCTGCAGCGAGTGCTCGAGTTAGTGTTGTGAGTTGAATTACTACCGTGGAAGCCAAGTTCACGTGGATGTATGTATTATATCCATGGAGCTATCCTTGTATTGTAAATATAATAAAGATTCTGAGGTTGGTTATCCATTGCGCCAGTTCATGCTAACATTAACCTTAATCTCATTTTCATTTTGATTCTTCAGTCTAAATTTTACAAATCCGTCAATTTGACTAAGGGGGCGTGATTGACTGATTGGCTCGCCTGCGGAGCGGAGAGACGTAGGGAAGGTGAGGATAGGAGAGTTAATGATCTCTCGTTTTCTTGTTTAAATGTATTGAATTCGAGGGACGGATGCAAGTGTGTTTTAATAATATTTTTGTTTAATTCAAGATGGGAGGCAAGCAATCAACAGGCCATTCTTGGGATATCATTTGTCATGAAAATGGAGCATGGGAATGTGGGTTCATGAAGAAGAAATTAGTTTTGTTTACATCCATAGCATAGCTGAGAACCTTAATCTTTGTTAGAGATGGATTTATTGATTTTCATGAAAATGGATTGAAATGTAATTGAGTTTGCTTGGGATGATTTTAACAATATTAATGATCTTGATTATCATTTTAACAATGTTTATAAATTGGAGGTGATCGGATTCTCAGAGGTCATCAGGCAGAGAATCTCACAAAACGCATGTAACTAATTATTTTGGAAACATTACAAATAATCAATCTGTATATCAATTCAAGCAAGGGATAATTGGGTGTGTCTTATTTATTGGAGGAGATTACATCTAAGGATCATTTAAGAAAAGTATTCAAAAATAAGGATAAATATGAAATGGTTTGTTTTTAAAGTAAAAATATAACTTATTTTTTTCAAATTAAATTTATTATTAGTCCTTATTTGTAAATATTTTGTTTTGGTTGGATGTAATATTTTTAGAATTAGATTGAATATTGAATTAAAAATGTCAGCAATTCACAGTTTGTATGATTCAATCGAATTAGATCAATGTTCAAATAGTAACATAATAATTAAATTAAAAAATTTATATATGTATATAATAATCTAAATATAAATAATAAATATAAAATTATTATTTAACTTAAAAATATAATTAAATATTTTAAATTTATCATGATTTAGCTAACTACATGATACAATATAATATTAAATGATTAAAATTTTTAATCTTTTTTTCAAAAATTGATAAAAATATTTTTTTAAACAGTTTGTTTTTTCTAAAATTAGATTCAATTTTTGATCTGACCGTTGGCAAAATGGCCCTACTTGGTCCAATTTCCAAGATGATTTTTACATGTGGAAGAGCCAAAATTCAAATCAGTTAACGATTACTGCTTGAATGTGATTCTTTATATTTATTATGACATGGCTTCTGACTCTATGAGGACCTTGGTGGTGGTGCTGCTGCAAGAGCGCATGGAATTGCAATGGGACATGATTCTCTCCTCTTTCTTCCCATCATCTTTCACTCTTCTTTTTAATTTGTAACCATTAGATCAAGATTTTGAATAATCAAAATTTAATCTCTTTCAAAACATTTCATTTCATTTTATTTTTACTGTATTTTTAATTTGTCCTTGTTAAATTTTAATAGATTGAATTTTATTATTTATATTTTTTTTATAAATTTAATACTTTAATAATAAATTTGTACGAAATCAAATGTGAACTATTTAAATGTTGATCAAATGGCTAGAAAGGAAAAAAGAATGGAAGACGATGGAAAAGGGAAGGATAGGATCCATGCCCGGATTGCAACCCCCTACAATATGTTGTCATTTCTTTAATTGGGCCCAGCTCTCTTCTTTACCCAGAAAAAAGGGGGCGTGCATGGTTGTTTGCGATTGACGGACGGGCCTCGGACATGGTTGAGTTGGCTGATTCTTCTGACTCCACTCAGTGATGAGGTCCCATGTATGGACACGTGTTTGAAAATTATTGGTGCAGGTTTAAAATTTTGGGTTTGCCGCGCTTAGTCTTTGGTGGTCACTACCACGGGGACACCCCGCGCTTCGGAATTCGTCACGTCGGCAAAACCGAGGTTAAAAACTCCGAACCTACGTTAGCCACGTTAGCTTCCAATCCGAACCTAGCTTTTACTAAATCCCCTTCCTCGCCTCCTGTCATGTCGTTTGGTGCTTATTCAATCTACACACAACTCAAATTATTCTCTCAATTTCACAATAAAAAAAATTAGATACTTCATCATAAAAAATTAAATTTTCATATTTAACTATATATTTAAAAAATTCAATAAATATATAAATTAATTTACTCGACATGTCACAAGCAATAATTTTAATATTTTAATTTTTAACGTTTCACTTTAAAAATGTCGTCCTTTTATAAGATTTGACTTACTTTAACTCCTTTTCTTTGCATGGCTTGCTTTGCCCTGTAATTTATTAAAAAAAAAAAAAGGTTCAATGTTCAACCAGCTGCACTTGCTCACAGGCAACACCAAGAAGACAAAATAATGAAATACTATTACGTATTAAAATTAAATACTGGTAAATTCTTAATTCTTCATTCGTGTCCTAACTCCTAACTCCTGAGGTGAGGTCCGTGTTTTGTCACAGATGTTCTGCAGAATAAACTTATGGTTCGAGCTGAGACGACCGAAGACAGACTGAACACAAATGTGGTTTTCACTGAATAAGGTATTTCTCTTTTCAAACCTCTATCCGCTAATCGATTAACATTCTTTAAGAATCATTTCAGCTTCACGCTTTCTTGAACCTGTTCTTGAAGTCTCTTTCTTCCCTTAAGTCAAGACTGAAGTTGCTGTTATCCTGCACAAATCATTGCAAATAAGTTCGATTTCTTTACAAGTGACCTCGTCCTAACTTATTTTTTCATTAAACTGACATGTGCGCACGCGTTTTTTTTCCCCGTCTTGAAGTCTATTCGACTTTCAATTTCCAGGCGGGAACGGCGATAATAGTTTCACGTCAAAGACCATAAACTGCTGATCTCCTGTTCATAGCAGTGAATTCAGAGCATTTTCTCATTGGACTTAAAATTTCTGTTTTTAACCATGCCAATCTCGGAGAAATCATCTTCGTCCCGGTCTTTGCGGTTGTCATCAGTGGCGGCTCGGGATATTGATCCATTGTTAAAGGATTTAAATGAAAAGAAGCAGAGCTTCAGGCGCAACGTGGTGTCATTAGCCGCAGAGTTGAAGGAGGCGCGGAGCCGCCTTATATCACAAGAGCAATCATTTGCCAGAGAAACCCTAACAAGACAGGTTCAAAACTTTCTGTTTCATTTCGAGCTATGCTATCATTATTATTATTATTATACTCACGACATTGAAAGTTGAAAACAATCATTCCTGCTCTGTGGCTTGGTGGGGACAAATTTTAATCGAGCTAAATTTTATGAGTATTCTCTCTCAGGAAGCAGAGGTTAAAGCCAGGAACATGGAAGAGGAAATTGATAGGTTGCAGAAGAGATTGGAGGAGAGAAACAAGCGACTTCAGGCTTCAGCCTCTACCACAGAGAAGGTTTTATTTAATCATGTTCTACTATTTTTGGAACCTTGTTTCCGGTTTTTCTTTTAAAAATATATAATTCTAATCATTTTGTTTGCACATATGAAATCTCCATACGATTCTCCATCTTACGTTTTTTGTGTAAACCTTATTTTTTTTTTTTGGCCGTAAAAAAATACTACATATTCGGTGATCATTTGAGCGTTTTTTTTTTTTTTTTTGACATTTCCATTTTATGGTGGAGCCCAAGGGAAGAAATGGTGACTAAATGTTTTGATATGTTATTATGTTGTTACTTTTTAATCTGACTTATTTTATTGTCTATGACATTTGTTTCTGATGCTAATGATTATAAACAGTGTAAGCAACATCAATATCAATAGTCAATAGCATTGGTAAAATATTTTAAAATTAAGCAAACACTCGATCATTGCTTGTTTATGGAGGCACGTTGCTGATATAAACAATTTCATTGATTCGTTTTACTTTTTGGCTTTCATCCTCAACCAGACTCATTTACATAACGGGTTAATCACTAGTTTCAAATGGCTTTGCCAGTACTATGGGAGCAAAGTAAATGTCGTGGTTATTTTACTTTTGACTTCTAACAACGGCTAAACTAAAGCCAAGGTGGAGCAATTTCAAATTCTTTGAACTTTTCTGTGCCTACAGCTGTACAGCATGTTTCTGAGTTATTGCTGAAGTCAAAATTATTAGATTCTTTCACGGTGGTAGACTCCCCCCCCCCCCTTCCCTCCCTTTTCCTTTTGGTTGGGTTCGCCAATTTGTCAGGCGAACACTGTACATGCACTGCGTCTGCCCCGACTCCGGAATTCCTGGCACATTAAGCTTGGTTTCTTAACCTTTGCTTATCGCATTCAATGATATACCGTGTACTTTTTATTTTATTTTTTAGTAATGCAATAAAACAAAAATAAAATTTAAATGCTGGATCAAAAATTACTCCTTTTTTTTCCCCTCTCGCGATCAATCCTCGTTAATGCATCAGGACATCTGGCATGAAGGCAATTAAAAATTGTTGACAGAGTCAAGATGGATCATGACACAGGTCTTTGGCATCATGACATCTGTAACAAATCTTGAAATTTGAAAACTTTTATTGTTAACACTAAATTCTGTATGTGGCACTGTCGCTTAATATCTCTTGCTAGTAGTTTGCAGAAAAATGTCATTATAGTAAAATCATAATGACGCATTTATGTTGGTTGTAGCCCAATCAGTATTGATTAACTAATCAAGTTGTTTTGATGCAGTATTTAAATGAGTTAGATAATCTTAGAACACAGATCGCATCAACTAGAGCGGCTGCTGAGGCAAGTGTTGCATCAGCTCAATCAGCAGATCTCCAATATGCAGAACTTGTAAAAGAATTAGATGAGAAAAATTGTTCTCTGAGAGAGCAGGAGGGTCGTTTCATTAGGATGGGAGAGCAACTAGATAATCTCCAGAAGGATCTTCATGCTAGGGAATCTTCACAAAAGCAACTGAAAGACGAAGTTATGCGGATTGAGCAAGATGTCAGGGAAGCCCTTGCGAAAGCGGGAGCAAACAAGAATTGTGAACTGAGGAAAATATTAGATGAAGTTTCCCCTAGGAACTTAGAGAAGATACACGAGCGTCTGATTGTTAAGGATGAGGAAATAGCAAAACTTAAGGATGATATCAAGATTGTGTCGTCTCATTCGAAGTTCAAGATTGAGGAATTAGAATCACAGGTAAATCCATCTGCTGTTTGCCTTGTCATGTTCTTGTTCCAGCATTATGGCTTGTGTATTTATGAATATCCATTTGTTTTAAAATGCAGTTAGAGAAACGGCGGTGTGTTGACCAGGAGCTGAAGAAGAGGATGCTGAAACTGGAATTTTGTCTGCAAGAAGCCCGTTCTCAGACACGAAAGCTTCACAAGGTGAGATTTTACTGAGCGTTGATCATTTTTGTTTTACGTGATTTATACTTGCTGCTATTAAAATTTTCACGGTTTGCTTTAATATTGCTGTTTGGGTCAGGGTATACACTGCATTATGAAAGAGTGAGTTGGTTTCATTCTGAACTGGCAGGCTTAGAAATGAATCCACGCCCCAATCAAATGACACGTATGTTTTGTATGGTTTTGTGAACACAGATGGGAGAGAGACAGGACAAAGCAATAAAAGATCTGAGAGATCAGTTGGCAGCAAAACAACGAAGTGAAGTGGGTGCAGAAAAGCAAAACCAGAACTTCTGGGAAAGCTCAGGATTCAAAATTGTGGCGTCCGTGTCCATGTTGATCTTGGTGGTATTCTCGAAGCGGTAGTTGGGGGTGTTCAAGTTCTTACCGTTAGGAAATAAATCAAATAATTCTTGTACATAGATTTAAGGAGTGCAGGGAAGTAGGAGAAACCATTTTGCTGGTAGAAATACTGTTTGATATATAAAAATAGTTTAGCTCTAGTTTACACTCCTAACGAGTTTTGCTGTCTGTCGTAAAAGTAAAATGACGTCTAATTAACTGTGCTTGAGGCTGTGGTTCGCCGTACTTGTTGGTTGTTTAATGCATACCAGAGGCGGTGGACCAATATGATTTATTAGTTATTACTGTAATCATAACTTGGCGGAATACTATCACCAAGTAATTGATGCGCGTCCTCTTGGAGCGTTAATTTATTTTACTGGCAGATGAGTCGTCTGCTTCATAAAAGTTAGTCAGCTGTTGTGATAATTTTGGCCCTGTTTTCTGCCTTTTTGAGAACTCGAGCAAGCGTTCACTTCACAATTAGCAACCAACTTCAGAGTTTAACAAGGTGCTTATATGGAAAACTCGCGATTTAATATCTCGTTAAGGTTTAGAATATTCGGACTTTCTTGGATTATAAGATAGTTAGCTCTGCTGTTGGAAATTGAAATTCTACCACTATCGAATGTGTAATCTGAGCGAAGCAGGTTTTCAAGCATGTGGGCTAACAATAATGTTATCTGAGTGTCAATCCGGCAGACACTAATGTAACGTAGCTCCGACAAATTATGTACATTACAATAACCCCGTGTAGCAAAGCACAGGCACAGCAGCCCAGAAGCCAGAAACTGCAGTTACTTAAATTCTACAAGTACACTCACCTAAGTCCTGAGCCATAATAATAGAGCTACTCGTCCTATTCTAAGGAAGCACGCTGAGTTGCGCTGTGACCAGCGATGCCAGCAGAAGCGTCGATCCAACAAAAGGCCTGAGACCACTTGAATGTGACCATGTGGTGGAAGGTGGGCTTTGCGACCCAACAAGCGGCGTATAACCTGACACCGGATTGCTCGAGTTCAATGTCGCCGATGATGATGTTGGGCTACCATAGCTGCAAACAATAATAATACCCAGAAAGAAGCAGGATTAGCATCCATGTTCAAGGCTTAATGGTCAACATTTGAGAATTGGTGAAGCCATGCATGAAACTCACCCTAGAGTACCACCTCCTGGTGATGACGGTGTTGTTGGAGTCGGAGATGCTGTTGGTGATGATGACGCAGATGCTGGCCGCGACGACGAAGAAGACGACGGGGTTGTTGGCGGTGGCGGCGACGACGAAGAAGAAGACGCCGACGATGCGTAAATGCAAGAACCCGAACCTATTTCAAGGGGGGGGAAATAATGCTCGGTAGGTTGAATCATATCATGCACAGAAGACAAGCAATGGAGTGGCTAAAATTAAATAACAAGATCTAACTCACTAGGGTTGATCGTAACTAAGGTGGCAGTGCCTCCGAAGTCGCAGCTGGTAGGAGAGGGGTTCTTTTGGTAGTAGGCGTTGAAGGCATAAGAAGCGTGGTTTTGCAGAGTGTCGGGATTGTAGCAATTCCCTCCCTGCTGTATCTGAGAGCAATCGGCGCCTCCCATTCCACAGGCATAGTCGAGTGCGGATTGAAGAGCAGACTGTGAAACTCCAGATTTAGCCACACACCACTTCTGCCCAGAAGCAGCAGGAGCAGCATTAGAGGTGGTCGGAGGAGGTGGTGGTTGAGAATTTGTCACCGGAACACCAGTTGACGACGGTGGAGGATAAGCCGTAACCGGCACGGGGGAATTAGAGGAAGGTACCGTGACAGGCACCGCGGATGGATTCGTGGGGTACACAGTGACAGGATTACTGGAAGGTACTGTGATGACGGTGGTGTCCCCTAACGTTCTTCTGGGGAGGATCTTGCCAATCATTCGAAGGTGAGATAGGAAGATACTGGCACCAGGTGGGGCTGGAGAGTCGCGATCGGAAAAGATGGGCATCATGAATCCTGAAAAGAGTGTGAGAATCGTGAGATTGCAGATGAATATGAAGGGGAATTGAGAAGAAGCAGAGAATGAGAGAATGAGAGAGGGACTCACCGGAACTGTAGAGAAGGAGGAAGGAGAGAAGGAGGAAGAAGAAAGAACGAGGAGGGCTGGCCATGGTGATGGGAGTGATGGGAGAAAGAGACAGAGACGGTTTGGATCGGAAATGTAGAATCAGAGCGTGGGAGTGGGAGGCGAGATTGAGGATAACAGAGTGAAAAGCGGAAAAGTGTCGCATGAAAGAAGATCCGTTTGGGAGCATAAAGTAAAACATGTTACTTTGTCCTTAAGGATGATGATGTGTTTAGAAATCTTGTCGTCTCCTGCAATTCCCCCTCACTTTTCTTTAATTATCTTCTTTTTAGGCGCACGAATTCAAATTTTATTTGCGTCTTTCACCACCCTCCTACTCTGCTCTCCCCTGCGTCGCATGTGACCCTGCATTTTCTTTTCCCTATCAATGTTTTTTAAAAAAGAAAAAGAAAAGGAAAAATTCGTGCGCTGTCATGTCGGCTATGCTTTTTTTAGCTTGATGAAAGATTTAGCATGCATAGTTGGTCACTCGTTCTAAACAAACGCGCACGAATGTGAATGACGAATAACGCTATTTTTTTTTTTTAGAGGAAAAATGAATGAATTTCTAATGTTGCCATCAAATTGGACCAAGCCACCTGCCTCTGCCTCGTCGGTTGGGTCATGATGGATATATCGGAAAGAAGGGTTGTGATATTGCCAAGTTTGTGGTATCTTATTTTAAAATGTTGGAGTTGAGGAAGGAAATCCAACATAACATATAAGCGAGGGGGAAAAGACAGCCCATGTGGAACAATGTAATGACTCTCTGGATTTCAAGCCAATCAAAATCAGGGTGTGCCAAAGGGCTCCACCACAAAAGCAAAACCACAGACAGAGAGTTCATTCATTACTATTAGTCATCGGCAACGTGTAAAATGGAAATGCCACCACCAAAGTGCTCCGGCCGCCACGCGATCCTACCTAGATTGGGCTCTCAAAGTATTAAAGAGTTGGTGTCCACAAAATCCCACCTGTACTAAACCAAAGCAACAGAAGGACGATGATATGTGACCCATGATCATATATATGTCTCTTAGCACAATTTTATCCACTGATCATTGGTCACATATCAAAGTATAACAGAGTGAGAGTGAGTTTAGTTTGGAGTGACATGGCAAAAAGCTTAGATAACCAAATTAAACCCACTCTCACTCCATCATACTTTGATCGGCCAACACTTAGTTACTGCAATACAAATATGCGTCTTAATTTATGACTGATCCCCCTAGTCTCCTGGGAGGCTAGCACACAGCCACAGACCCCTCAGTTTTTAATTCAGGAAATAATAGACGGCTATGTATGTCACGCGTGCGATTCTGCTTGGACCATAAAGGAGCAACGAAGAACATTTTGTGTAAAGCCGAGTGATATAATTCATAGACATAAACTTAGAAATCATGCCATCGTATACATACCGATCCATGTATTCTCGCTCAATGAGTTTGAACATGCTAGCTGGCGACTACATAATAAACACCCAGATGACGCCCCTTGACGCCCAAAAACCAAAGCCAACAAACTCACACACTAGATGCACTGGCGACACACCAACACGGACATGCGCAAAAGATAGTGTCGTGAACAACCTAACTGAACACAACAATAAGTAGTAACAAGTTGAGGTGGCTTGGTCATGCATGCGGCGGCGATCCCACTCCCACAACTGGGTTAAGGGGCAGGGTCGGGGTACAGCCACCTGGGAAAGTGCAGAAGAATCCGGCAAAGCCGCCGGGGCTCGGAAACGTCCCTCCTGTCCCGGAGCCTCCTCCCAAGAAGCTCTGCGGCTCTTCAACCTTCAGTTTCCGTCCACCTTCGACCTTCGAAACAAGCAGCCCCACCAGCAGCATTGCCAACACCACCAACACCTTAACCTGGCTTGCTCTCTCCATAGTCTCAACTCTCAACGTGGTTCAGTGCTTTGAAATGCCACTTCCCTCCCTCCCAATTTATACTTAAAGGATTTAGTGATATTGGTAGGGAATTTAAGACGGCCCCAACTAACCCAGGAGGAAGGTCTTGGGACCCTTAAAATCTCTGGACATTGAAAACCCCATTAAATTACGTTTCCAAGTTATTGTTCAGAGCTACTAACTCCTTCATCTACCAAGGTGTGTTATCTTCCTATAACAAGCCTTGGGAAAACTAGTACCACTGCTGCCCCGCCTAGCTGCCCTTGTCAGAGTCCTGCCTGTTTCCTATAGAACTGCAACTCTGGTTTACTTTAAACTCGGATCCATTTACATATGTAGGTCATAATACTTGTGAACACTTTTTTTTCCCCCCACTTCCTCCTCGTAGCTGTTTATATGTACTTAACAGGGAAATCCAAATCGAATTTCCAAAAAGTCATTTTACAGGACTTTGTGTTGGCATTGAAAACAGTAAATAAAATATTTCACAACGACCAATGAAGGTCCCGTAGCTCAGTTGGTTAGAGCGTTGGTCTTATGAGCCGAAGGTCGCGGGTTCGAGCCCCGCCGGGACCATTATTATGTTAAAATTCCCTCAGTGTATGCATGATTTTCTAGCCCGTTCGTTGCACATTGGGTGCGCAGTATAATAATACATTTTTCCATCTTCCGACCCAAAAGGGCGAAAAGGTCTACGTGTCTTAATTTACTATTTTTAGGTTTTTGATACTGTGGTCATTTAAAAAAAAAAAGCAAAAAGAAACCTTGGTTTGATAATTTTCTTCTACTTCTAATCCAAAGAAAAAAAAAATGCGCATTTATTGATTTTTTTTTTTCAACAGCACCATTCGGCTATCTTTGAATATAAAATGATAAGGTATTATTGAGCACCTGATATGTAAATCTTTCTTATTGATTATTTTTCAGCACATGAGTACTCGTACTCTCAAATAGATATTCAAATGAAGAAACAAGTGAAGCAACGAAAACGAAGCCTCAGACAAAATTCATCTTTACATGAATACTGCCATTCAAATGCTAACTCATAATGTTATCAGTAACTATTAAAATGGAATTATCGTGCAAATAAAATTATACAGAGCATGATAATTAATAATCGGACTCCTTTTGAAGAAATAAGTAATGAAAACCTTGAAAGGAAGAAATGATGAAGTTGACGAAATGGATTTTTATGGCTTAAGATAAATGTGTACTTTTGGTCTCTCTCTCTGTTTTTTTTTTGCCAACATTTTGGTCATTAGGTTTTTGAATGTTTCGCAATATACAGGAGTTGGTTGGATCCTTAATTCATAGATTTACGATGTTGTTGCATTATCAAGCAATCATCTGTTTCTGTACTAGAATTCTTCAACTTAAATTTAGATAGTTGATGAGAATCAGTATAATCTGACTCAGATATCAACCATTGAGTACGACTAAGCGCCATTTTTCCCCGGCGAGACTGTGCTCCGAAGCTAGTTTAGGATGAAATTTTCACTTTAGAAAAAGGCTTGACTGAATTTTTAAATATGAAACCCGAACTCCTCAAGACTCGAAGACTGTTCCTTGATAGAAAATTAAAATCTCATGAATATTGACACACTTCTTAAACTGTCGTCCACTAAAATTACATTTTTCACAAATCTCTTTCGAAAGCACAAAAATGTGATGACAATATATGTTCTCTTGGCCATGAAGGCACACAAAAACGCAACAGTTGAATCACATTATGGGGGAGCAAGTATAACTGTACAAGGAAGAACAATTTGAGCATCTCCCCTGAATTTCCCTTCACCGACTTTATGAAAACTACCCCAAGCATCAATGTGAAACGCCTCATTGGTGGGGACAAATGATTGCGGCTCTACGCTTCAGACACGAAGAAATCTATTGCCTCATGATGAATGGTTTTAGACCCCCATAAGAAAACAGATAAGGGATATCATTTGGACCCAAAACCCATGAATGATTGCATGAGGATATGTAACATCTCATATGTTAATCTTTGGGTGATAAAAAAATTATAGGTAATTTTGAGGAATATAAAAAAAATTCTTGAGGCATAGAAATCGTGAGAGCATCGAAAATTATTGAGCATTTATTGACGATTATGAATTTTGAAAATAAGTAACATAATTAATATACGTGTGTGTGTATAAAACTTGCCCAAGATGAAATAAATATAACGATTTAATTTCAAACAATAATAATAATAATATAAATAATATGTATGTATGTCTATAAGTTTTTAAGTATAATATGTTATTGAAAAAAGAGGAGAAAATGGATTAGGATGGCACACAGCCCACTCCAAATCCGTTAGGTATTACTCCTCCTATCCTCTTTATAAGTCATTTTTATCAATCTTATTAATACCAATGTAAAAAAAAAATACAAGAAATAAAAGGGTGTAGAATTTCAATTATGCCCCTATATAATAAATTTAAAAAATAATGTCATATTACTTTTTTTTCTCTTAAGAAAGGTAATTTTGAAAATACTTTTAAATATTATCTAAAAAGTCACATCATAACTTATAAATATAATCAAATAGACATTTTAAAATGTGCTTTATAAATAAGATTAAAAGGAGTATACTGTATCATGCAAGCGTGCACATTCATGATTTCATTAGCGGCGCACAGACAAGAACAAGAGAGAGAGGTGGTCAAGAGCATAGCATGAGATTTTAGGATATAGGTTTCAATCAGATATTTCAAATCTGGTACGTGGCTTTGTAGGACTAGGCTCTCATTCAGAACTTTTACTGCTTAAATTGCCGTGTGACTACTTATAAGTTAAAGTACTTATAAGTTAAAGGATAGGTCATTTGAATTTTTTTCATGTGTGTGCAAACTATAATTTATGTCATGCTTTATAAAAGTATACTTGTGCATTAGTTTATCTAATTAAGTATGATACATGTATATAGATTATATGATAGATTGTTGAGAAACTATAAAAAATAAGATTGTGCATGATTCAACGATGTACTATTTCTTTTTTAAAGCTTGTTTGTAAGCAGTAGTTGTTGCATATGCATGACATGCATTGGTAATGGATTAGAGAGATGATAATATAGATGGTGACATTGATATATATTATTTATGACCCTATGACGTTCATGTTGACTTTGTATAGTGGTTGCCATTTTTTGAAGGCTTGTTCCCTAATATCTATGTGGCCAGGCTGGTAAAAAAGGAGGGTGAAATAGTAACAACTCCTAGTTAGGTTATTTAAAAAAGAGATCCATAGTTTAAACTTGGGCTCTATATGTTTGGCCTGGTATATCTTGAGTTTCGGAGATGCTTTGGTCAATCTAGCATTTAGGCTATGTAACACACCAAATTTTTTTTTAAATAATTTAACTCAACCATAGTTGGGTTACAGCCACCCAACACATTTTTATATCAATAATTTTAATATAAAATATTTTATAATTGGCTTCAACTCACACAATATAACATTTCAGATAAATTTTTACCTCCCACATACCATTAGGCTAAATCACATTTATCCATCCTTATACTCCCAACAAGTAAACTAAATTACATTTGTCCATCCTTATACTCCCAACAAGAAAAATAAACAATTTAGTCAATTTTCAACACAACTCAGTTATTTGGCCTCATAATCATGCTATTTTAACCAATCCAAAGTAAACCAAATATTAAAATTACAGTCATCCAAATTGTACTAAAAATAAAAATAGTTTGAAAGGCATGATTGCATTTATATATTCATATAATTGTCAATAAACAAAAAGCCCTAATATTGGCAATATAACACATTATAAATCATAAATCAAATACCCAAAAGAGACAGTGGATCTATGCCACTAAGCCTCTGGGACTCCTTCACGTGCCACTCATGGCTCTTCTCCTGAAAATTGTTAACCACATAATGAGACTCAAAAGTTCCAGTAATCAAAGCCAATTTATGATAGTGTGTACAAACAGTTAAGTGTGTGTTTACTAAGTGGGAACCAAAATAATATAATTCTAACAAATATAAGAAATATTACAATATACACAAATATCCATCCTTATATCCCTCCATTAACCTCGAGCCATAGCCCTCACTCGGTGCTAAATTACCCGACCAAAAGTAGATTAGCCCGAGTCCTTATAAACCACCTATTGAGCTCCAATAGGGGCATACCACGTGGCACATAAATACAACAACAATAGCAAGTCTCCCAACACCTCCCACAATAATCAAACAAATTCATAATAATATTACACAATTATACAATATTATAAAATTTATAATTTTTCTCAATAATCACTCAATTAACATGAAGTAACACTAATCACAAATTAAAAGCATGGTTACCTTGTGGCTTTTTCAATAAATTATTCCTTACAATTTCTCTCCCACCATAATTTTCACCAATAATACAATCTACAAATACCATATTATTTATAAATATTAGTTTCAATTTTTGAAACTAATAAAATAATTCTAATAATAGAATTAAAAATATAACATAATTCATAATCTCAATCTTAATACAAATCTAGAGTTAATACTATTAAGTAAAATTTTTAACTCCTTGTTTACTCATCAATAAACATTAATAATCTAAAAATCAACTTCTAAACTGATTTCTATTATCAAAATTTTCTTTTTATTTTATAAATTCGCATCTAAAATATTCAAAAATTAAAAATTGAGTCTCTAGCTTAGAATCATAATCCTATAGCCATAATAATTCATTTCTCATCCCAAATAATCATCTAAACCTCAATAAATCAACATATATTTTCAGGTCTAATTTAGAATTTGATTCATAAGCCACAAATTCAAAGATCATCAACAAATTTATACTCTAGAACATTTATTATACTATTAACAACCTTAAAAACCATATTTATTCAACATAAATTCATCCCTCTTCCAGATTTTAAATTTTCTACCACTACAAACTCAGAAACCAAAGAAGAAGGATGATTAAGAAAATTTTTTAGAATACTTACTTAGTCTTAAAAAGCTTAAAATCACACCCTAAATATCCTGTTAAAAATTGTTACCTTAAACCCAGCACCAGCGAAACTAGATGCTCTTTTTGCCTCAGCTCGTGCACAGGAAAGAATGAAGAAACGAAGGAAACAGGTGAGTTTTCATAAAAATTTAGTGGGTCCCACATTTTTTTTATTTCTTCTTTCCTCTCTCTTTTTTCTTTCTTTCTTTATTATTATTATTATTATATATATATGTGTGTGTGTGTAATGATGGCACGCAAAAACGCCGAAAGCATCCATTCCTTCTCTTCTTCTTCTTCTTCTTTTTTTTTAACCTTTGCCCTTTTTTTATTATAATAATAATAATAATTTAATAATATTTTTTTAATTTTTTTAATTTTTTAATTTTAATTTAGAATGATATCCTAAGTTAGATTTAATAATCATTTTTTACTAATTTGCTTACTTCTAAATATTTTTTAAAATTTCTATTAACCTAAATTAATTATTAAAATTTAAATTGAGATGTTACAGACTAGACCATGGATAAGCTTATGGCTTCAGTCAATGGTATAAGGTTAGACGAAGTAATAAGGAGGGTTATAGGTATTGCATATTATCATATGTTACATATAACTGTCATGAATGATGGCCCGTAAATTGTTATGCTCATAATGAAATAACAATGATAAAAATATGTGTTTACCTATAGGGTTATTTGTGTGCCGTTGTTTGTACATATATGATATAATTCTATATAACTAAAGTGTTAGTTCTCACCTATTCCTATAACATTTTCAAATTAATAGGATAAAGGGAAAGCATTTGGAAACTTAAGGTTTAGTTTAAATAAGTCTCGAGACTATTTATTTAGTTTAAAAAATAATGTCATTTTTTAGCTTAGGATTCATCTCTATTATTGACATTTATTATTTTATAAATTTATTTGTACTATCATGATATCAAATTAAGTTGTTAATTTGAAAATAAATGAGTGAGTAATTAATTGTGGCTAATAAGATTGAGGCTATGCACTACAATTAGCGCACCCATGTGTTGCGACGAGCTTCCTCTGTGACGTGTGTAAAGATGCCATCCACCACAATTCACTGCAAAAAAATGATAGCACCAATGCTATCAAATCACAACATTAGGTGCATATGCACACGTGCAACCTCAATTTCAACAAAACCATAAGGGAGGCAAATATAGCATATAATCATTAAATACTCCCTTTGCACAATTCCAAAATAATCATTAACTTACTTGTACTAGTATTAAGCCTTAATTCACTTTATCAGCACATACACAGAGCTAAGGCACTAAATACAAATATCAACCACAAATAACATGCATTGGTACAAGTAAACTCAAAAAAACATGACCTAAATTAGCAACGCATCATCAGTGAATTACACATATACATAAAGGAAAGTAAGAGGCCCACATTAAGAATGTAGATTCCCAAGCTTCTTGAGCTTTTTCTCTATCTTCATCAAAATTAGTGCTTACAAAATGTTAAACAGGGTGAGCATAATTATCTAATAACCAAGAAAAGCTCTAAATCACACACATGCAAGTCAAATTAATTAAGGCATATAAAGTGGGCAGTTAAAAATCCAAAACAAAGACATATAGTACAATATCACATCCCATGATGTCATAAATGCATGATCAAATACTTTTTATCTCTTCCATATATTGTTGGCCAAATATGTAAGTTGACAATTCAATAGGATTGAGTCCATGTAGATGGATTAATCCAAACTCACCAATCATATGGAGTCACTTGGCCAAAGATGCATCTCTCAATATTAGACTATGAATTCCTCCAATTTTCGAATCCATTAGGGTGTAGCATGTTTCACCATTTACCAATTCAGGAAAAAGGTTAAGGGCAAGGTCTATGCGACCTACACTTACATCTATTGTTAGGTGAAATTTAGAAAGACCCGACCCAAGAAACTAAATTATTGGAGCCACCTATGATGTTGGTTATATAAGATTTCATGTGAAAAATTATATACTACTCCTCTTAAGGTACCTTCCCGCCCAAACCATGGTTATACCATCATGCACAATGCATCTACTATACATTTTCATAACTCATAACATAATGCAATTATTCAAGAATGCATATAACAATATAGTTAAATTATCACAAGCATGCATATAAAACTTCACCATTTCATAATACAATCATTCACAATATATAGCATTTCTAATAAAATTTGCTTTAATGAAAAATTTGAAAAAGCCACACTTTCATATGTTTTCTAAAACAATAAAATGAGTTTATACTTTAATAAATCACATTAATCATACTCACAAAAGAATCTAAATTAATCTAACAGGCAATAGTACAAGTTAAAGATCCTTCAGTTATTTCAAACCTTTAATAATTTAAAGGTTATCTCACAAAACGTTTGCTTCCCAAGCTTAAATTGAACTCCAAACAGTGTGATAAGTGCAAAACTACAATTAGCTACATTACTAAATATCAACTTAAATGACATCTAAAACTTTGAGACTCACTTTTATTACTTCAACTTCCCAATCACTAGTTCAAAATTATAACTAAGCAGTTTATTAACTCTCAATAATTTTATTGCTATTATAAAAATAACCTTTTACACTTATATTTTACGTCAATTAAAACAGAACAGGTGTTAAAAATAAGGTAGATTATAAATAAATTAAAATTTTAAAAGATTTTTTACGCCGATTATGATTATAACACGAGTAAAAAGTATAACTAATGGCATTTTTATAAAAGACTTTTCACACCTGTTATAATTTTAACCGGTGTACAAAGATAGATAAAAATTAACCCGCTTCAAATTTCAGAAATTTCTCATGACGGTCTTTCATCTTCTCTCCTAGTGTTCTTATTGTCGTGAGGGTTCGGTCCCTCTCCTTGTGAGAGTTCTAGTCTCTCGGCTCTTCTTGGCCTGTCACTCGCTTATTGTAGTTTGATTGTGGCACTTGCTCTTGCTTAAATCGACAAAGGCTCTCACTTTTAGTTCAGATTCAGATCTCAACGTTCACGGCTTTATTTTTAGATTTCATAGTTCAACGCCCCAACCGCTCAGCTTTCACAGCTTTATTTTCTTGCTGCGCGTCATTTTCTCTTCTTTGCATTCTCGTTCATCTCTGCTTAGATTCAGATCTTTAGTCTCCTTCATCCGTCGGCGTCATCCTCTGTTCTGATTTCTACCAGGAAAGCTGGTCCTGTAAGGTATTTTTTGAGTTTTTTTTTCAGCCTCCTTCATTTAGCCTTTTTCGAGTTATTCCGTCCTCTGTTCTGATTTCTATCGTGGATTTAAGGTCTTCAATTGAATATATAAATAACTAGCTTGCCACCTTGAACTACTTAGTTGGGTATTATCTGATATGATGTTAAAATGAATAGCTGTATTAATATTGATATTAATTCAGGCGAATTCCTTTATGCTCAATTCTGGAAAAATTATTTAGGTATTGATGGATGAATGTATTCTATCCTATAAATTGACTGCATCTATTATTTCTTATTTCAGAATACTTTCTCCCAAAATTACTCAGAATTGCTGTTGTAATGTTGTGTTATTACTTTCATGTAATTGCAGCATTGGTTTTCCTGTTGCCTACAGTTTAATTAGTGTCTATATGCACTTGTATGTATGTGTGGTCAAGTATTATTAATTTAGAGTTTTGTAATGATCCATTTGATTCTTCCACATCATCTATTGCATTGGGTGTCTCATATTCTGCATAAATCTAATTTATAATAATCAATTTGATGCTATGGAACTTTTGGTTTCTATGAATGCACGTTCTAAATTGAGAAAAGTTAAAAAGTGTTAGTCTATTTGTGCCGTTGATAAGCTAATAAGCTAAGCAAGTTTGGGTTTGGACTCAAGATTAATTATGATTTATTCAGATATATATTTTTTGAATTGAATTTATCAACAAATTCATTACTCTGTCTACTTTATGTGTCACGCTTATCACTCTTTCACATGCATAGAAATTCCCTCTCATTCCAAACAAATCTCAATGATTCTGTAGTGCAGCACTGTAAACCTTTTTTTTGAACGAAGCAGCACTGTAAACCTTAAGATTTATGTTTGTAGTTCTATTTTTGATATGGACTCTGATTTTGATCTTTGCTAGAATTTTTGAATTAATTTAAATATCATTTTTATGGCAATTAATTTATGTGTTCATGTTCATATTGTGTGCAAATGAGGGTACGCCGTTTTAGTTTGTGAATCAAGCTTATGATTCCAACACTTTATAAGCCTAGTTTCTCTAGTCTGTAATGTCTCCTTGAGTATATATAAATACTTTTACCTAAGTATAGATAATATCATTCAGTCTTGAAAGAGCTTGAAGTGTTGGAAGATCCCTTCAGAAAGTAGCGATGGTGCATAAGAAAATTGATATGGCTAAAATAAAGACTTGAAGCCACTATGACAGAGCTGCCAGAAAATGGTACAAAAATTTATGAGCAACAAATTTTATTTTCTTTTTTCTTTTTGTAAAGTATTTGTTGTCAGAAAATGAAAAAACAATCAAAAGGGAATCTGAATTCTGGAATTGAATGATAGGAGAAATAGTATAGAGAAGCCTTAGAGTTAAAGCTTTTAGTTTCTAAAAGTTTATTACATGTTTCCAATGATCGTGTTGGGTTAGTCTCCAAGAAAATTATGTAATGGTCTGGCTAAAATGATTGCATTAGCAAGGGACTGATAAATGAATTAGAAATTAGACATAACTAAACACCTCTTCCAAGCAATGATATAGTTTGGTAAATAAGACATGTTATTCATGAGCCAATGATACGGTTTACTATATACTTTTGATTTTATATTGATATTTGATTATTCAATCTTTATTTGAATGCTGGGGGATTTTTTTTTTTTTCTCTTTCTCCTCCTACCTTTGAAGGTTTAATGACATTTTTTGGATAAAATAATGCAGCTGAGCTCTAGTCCTGAAGTGAAAGATGAGGTGGATATGTTCAATTCTTTACTAGCATCTGTGTTTTGATCAGGTGGTGGGTTGCATACGCCTTTAAGATATATACCAATAATCAAGATCATACAAGGAAGATAATATGCTGAAATTTTAAAAAATCAAGCCGATCTTTACCTTTTAGGAAGCCCGCCTTCCTAAACTCTCTCTCACTTTTTGTCAATTTATTTTGATTATGTACATCAAACAACTGCACACTCCGAGGTATCTTTCCTACACGTCATCTTTTTGTAGTTGCTAAGAACGATTTTAAGTCTTCCAAACTCGCCTTTATACCTTCAGCTAGTGCATTATTTGAGAAGTGGACATCCAAATTACAGGTTTGTTTGCACAGCTTGAGGGACTTTGAAGAGATAGAAGTCATTTATTTCTTCTCGTCTTTCTGGAGTGAATATTAGTAAACCATCCAAACTCATGTAATAATTTAACTGCTTTCATATTGTATTTTGAATATTATTAAAATTATGTAATGGTCAAAATTTATGTAATTTGTTATTTATTATGAGAACTATTAGTATATATATGATGATAAAAAATGACATTTTTTAGATTGGAGGTAATTTAAATAATCTCCAATCCAAAAAATGCCTCTTTTTTTTTATAAAAAAAATTGCAAAGTTTATTTTCTACACCAATGTAGATAGTTCCTTTTTTATATCAATTATTGAACTGGTGTAGAAAGTTCACTTTCTAAAACCAATGTAAAAGGCTTTTTTTAATTGGTGTAAAAGTATTTATTGTAGTAGTGCATTTAGTTTCCATTAGCTTAAATAATTTCAAATAATAAATTTGTGGGCTAATTTACTAATGCTCTGTATGGTGGTTAGCGACTGTCATCTAGTATTTTGTTGTATCTGGAATTGGGTGCGCCTGTCTGTGTTTGTTTTCCTCTTATTATTTTATTCGTCTATGTATCTATTTGTTCAACTCAATATTTCCCCCTTCTGATTGAAATTATTATTTGTTCCGCAATTGACCTCTTGTTTAAATGGTCTACATAATGGCGTCTTTGTTCACTAAATGAATGTTATTGCTCATCATTTCACACTCGTTCTATTGATCCTGTATATATTGAATGAACTTACGGTTCATCATGTCACTTTCTAGCCTTCCAGTACCATTTATATTTCCAGCCATGGATGGAATTTTTCCCATATAGTCTATTGTCGTGGAGAGGGAGAACAATCAAATTAAATTTAACAATTTAAATTTGATAATTTGTAAAAATATAAATGGGTTTGTTATTAAAATCTAACCTAATGGTAAACTGCAGCGAAGATATAGTGGGGAGAAATGCATTGACTGCATTGGCAACATCATGTAATTGGGAGCTAGAAGGATTTTCTTTCAACTTTGGGACAAATTAGCTTCCTATTATCTCCGTCCTTTTCAACTTCTATAAAGTTTCCCTTGGATAACATTATATAAGTGATAACATTGGAACAAAAAGGTTTTCCTTTCAATCTCGGATCAATTTGCTTCTTATTATCCCCGTCTCTTTCAAATTTTATGCCGTCCCCCACCCAAATTGGCTGCTAGTTCTACCCCACCATTCAATAATATGATTCATTCATCCATAAAAAATGCGACATAGGAATAACAGCTGTAAGGAAAATGAACACTTATTCACGATGTAAAAATGGACGGAGCATTGTCTAGACAAATTATTGGAACGTTGAGCAACATTAGCCATGGAAGCAAATGCCCCTCCTACATCTGTCATTTTCCTTAAACGGTTTAAATTTAAATATATCTTCGGTGCAAGTACATTCATCCCACTTTCAGAATGTTGCTAACATGCGGAAACAAGTACCTCTAACAAGGAAGAAATGAATTGCATTTGAGTATCTTCATCTATTGTCAAGAAGAGAGGGACATGAACACAGAGGGATTTGATGCCGTTCTGTTCGGCGAAGCGCAGGGAATGGTAGTAAACATAATTGCTACAAACCTGCCTGCATCATCAGATGTCATAACATCATAACCTTTCTTTGCCAATTCCTTGCTGATCTCCTCTACTGGAAGGCAAGTCTGCATGAAGTTTAACTCAAAATCATTTGGCACCTTTCTATGTAAGAAAAATAATACGTATTGCTTACAAAAGGGGAGCAGATTTAACTACTTGCAGCTTCAGCCAGGACAATGATGGAACGAGAGTATAAATTCATTAACAAAAATGCATAAGAAAAATCATATTATCTGATCTACCTGGCGTGTTCGTGAAATTCCACCATCTGATGGAACAATTGGGACTTTCTGCAACAGATAAAAAGTAGAAAATTTAGTGAACAACAACATAATCAAACAATATCCGTTTGAAAGACTTAACGAAAGCCAATTAAACATGTGTCCCAAATTTTCCGAACTAACTTGGGGCTTCCATCCCATTTCATCGGGGCAACGAAAATTAGCCTCATTGACAGCTTGGTGCTCTACAGCAAACCTCGTTGCACCACTGTTGACCCCTAAATGCAGCTGAATTACCAAAATCATATATAGTCAGAAAATGAGATGCCGGGGTTTAGTAATACAAATGCATTCACATGACTAGAGATTCAAATAACTGGATATAATCGAGGGAAGATTCCGATCAACTGGGTATTTTCTTCATTACCTTAAAGAATTCTTCTATCTATGAGATGATATTTTGGCCCTCAAACTTCCACGGCTATTCTTCTTTAGTCTGGCCAAAGAAGTTTTATTTTACCAAAAGTACTAAAAAGGGAAGTCTTGTACAAATTTGGTTATATTTCCGTACTTAAATTTTAAAAGAAACTTCAATTACAGAGTTCAGCGACCTTTAATCAAAGTCAAGTCATCAACTATTCACCTTTTATGGAAATGTTTTGTACATTGCATGAATCAGTTCCTTAGTGGGGAAAAAAAAAATCTAGTAGAGCAGAGGCAGCGACTGCATGGAACCTCTGTGACAAGGTCAACCCTACTTACTTTAAAGGCAATACAAGGTTCCTATACTTCTATTGTCCAGGATTGATCAGTTTACCATGTTAGAATTTAGAGGACGTCTTAGTCACACTTTTTCACCAGATGACATAATTACCATTTATTAGAACCATGTTCAATGGGAAATCAGTTGATAAGTTTAAATATGTATTCTCTTTTATTTATTATAGGACACTTTCAATCATTTCACATATTTCAAAAAAAGTTAGTTTTTTTATATAATAAAAAAGTGAGATTCACTCTCATTTTTAACTTTGATTTTAAATAATAATACAACTACATTAAATACATTTATACTAATCAATAAGGGATAAAATTGAAAAAAGTGGTTTAATTATTATAAGGTGTCATATATATTTTGAACAAAAAATTATTCCTAAAAGGTGTCTTATAAATAGGATCGGTGAAAGTATATGGTTACATAAATGAAAACTCAAGAAAAGTGAATCAATAAATATAACTGTAATTCTGTAACTTTATACAGGGAACTTACCCAAATAATTCTTTGGGAATTTGAAGATTCAGAGTTCTTGGCACTAATGGCAGATTGCAAGGTCTGGTACAAGGCAACAAGTGCCCCTTGACCAGCAGTATCAAGAATGATGCAGCTCCCAATATTTAAACCTTTCGGCAAACCTTTCTTCTTCATATACTCGATCAAATTATTTACAATGGTCTCTGTTGGATTCTCTGAGACCCCATGGAATTTTTTAAAACCTGTTATGTTGACTGTTGCTGGTGGTGGAGGACACTCAGACCCCATTTGCTAATATATGTGAAGACGTAGTATTTATAGCTCCAAGTACAAAAGAGTTATCAGATATCTGCACCAAATAATTAGATATTTTCTGTTAGTAAGGGACAGAATTGAACAGTTTGTTGCCTATTGGGTACCTTAGAAATCACATCATAGTTCTTAATAACCCCCATCAATGATCTGTTTTTTAAATGCTACGAAGACATTGGGTCTATATAGAAATTCTCCTTCAAGTTATGTGCTCTTCATCATGTTAGAACGACATCTAATAAACATTGATTAAATTGAACGAGTGGAAATTATCCCTCATAAATCAGTAACCATAGCAGAGAATCCTGTCTCACGAAAATTGTACAAAAAGGATGATTGTATTTCAAAACACAGATAAAGACACATTCGAGAGGATTCAAGAATTTTCAGGATAAAAGAGACAGAAAACACCAGCGATTAATTTATACTGAATTACGCAGTTAGCCATGATAAACCCAGAGCAGAGATCAAAAAGCCATCAAACTTAAGCTGAGCCAACTCAGGAATGATCAAACATCCCCCCCCCCCAATTATAACTAAGCATGTTTTGTGAGAATATAGAAACGAACTCGAGAGCCCTTTTGCTTACCAGTAATCTTCAATGAGAGAGATGACACATCCACCAGTAAGCCGATTAACTGGTGAGGATTCCGATCAGATTTAGAAAGTGAGAGAGGAAGACAATAGAAAATAAAAATGCCAATGCAGGTCACTTTCAAACAACGAAGTACGGCATCATAATGGACTACTGTGCCATTTTTTATTTCGAATGCATAACTAGCTATTTCTTATTGTCATTTTTCAGAAAGCGGGCATTTAATAATGAGTGGCCTAAATCTCATAACAGACGGTGGATTAGCATATTCATTAGGCTCCTTGATCCCATTCTTATCTCGTTCAAAGCTTCAGGGACCCTCTTCACATAATGATTAGAAAAAACAAAAACGATGAACAGCGTAAATGATTCCTTTTCTTGCTTTATAACGTTTCTACGAAGAAGCCATCATCACGAAATTAAGCATAGGAATATAAAAATGTTGACTTTACCCTCCTATTGTGCTGATTATGTTTTCGGTTTGCAGGAGACTACTTTTTCAAATAGAGCGTCAAAACTAGCCTCCCCCTTGTAATAATCCAGAGCCACAAGTTTTGGCAATTTATTTTGAAAAATAAAATGCTTGATCTCGTATTTTGATTGTGTTTTTTTTTTTAAATTTTGTATGATTCTATTTTATTGTTTTCAATTCTTTTAATTTGATCCATCTCTAATATTAATCTTTATAATTTTAAAAATGCATATAATGACTATGAGATGTTCTGTTATAAGTTACAAGTCATTTTAGACTTCCCTTACAGAGCAACATTCAATGACACTTTTCCTGTTTTATCCTTAATGCAATATTGCACTGCTAATTAAATTCTGAAACAAATTAGAAGCAAATTAAGTTTTGATAAAATTTATAATACTTTTACATATTTACGAACTTGTGTGTAGCAATTTCAAAATGACAAATATAAGAGAGTTAGTGGCATTATTAAATTGCCAAGTGATTAGTAGCTGTGAAATAACACTGAACCATCAGTCCGGACGTGGGGAAAACCGGAACATGCAGTAATTACGATAAATAGATAGTTTCTTGTACGATGCACATGTTAGGATTAAAAAATTTAAAATAAATATCATCATTAATATTAATGTCAACACATTGGATATAATTAAATTTTTTTAAAAAAAATTTATTCAATCATTTTTCTCTTTAAATATTTTATTTGTACATATATATTGTCTTTATTTCTCGAGCTTATGGTAAAAAAATTGCATAAAAAATACATGTTGTTAGAGTGCTTAAAGAATATTAGCAAAAAAAAAATTTAGAATTTTCAATAACTCCTCATTTTCCGTTACACAAAATAATTAGGCACTGGTTTATGAATTATGACATAAATTTCATTTTCATAAATATGGATATAAAAAAGAATTTAAAGGGATCCCTCTTTCTTTTTAAAAAATTGTATTATATTCTTTTGTATTTTTTCATTCCTATTCTTCTTTTTTTTATGTGCAAAATAAAAGGGTTATCAAAAAGATATCTCTACGACTCAAGTTTTGCGTGTTTGGAGTATTTAAGTAGTTGTCACATTATCTTAGTAGCGAAGAATGTATGGTGAAACATGTAGAGTTTGAAGGGCTAAGACCACGAGATAAAGATTGATAATTCAAATAAAACTTAAACTTTTTTATTTTCTTTTTTCCTTCTTATGGATAATGTTTGTGGATAATAGTTGATTAGAGTTTATTGACATTGACGATAACGAATAAGGAAAGTGCATGAAAAATAGGAAAAAAATTAAATCTAATTTATCACGAAAATTGAAAAGACATGGAAAAATACAACAAATGCATAAGGATAATCGGATGGAGTTAATGCTAACGATTAAGAAAATTTAAAAATGAGATTGTTCTTAAATCAATACTTCTGTGAAAAGTAGATTGAAAATACATGAAAAATAAGAAAATAGGTTAAATCTCAATTATCAAGAAAATTGAAAAGGTATGGGAAAGTACAACGAATGAAGAAGGATAACATATGAAATTGATACTAACAATCGAGGAAATTTAAAAATAGGACTGCTCTCAAATCAATGATCCTGTGAAAATAGACTGAAAATACATAAAAAATAAGAAAATAAATTAAATTTCATTAATGAATTAAGAGAAATTTTCATATTAACATTAGCCTGAAATCTATTAACCAATAAGAGTCAATTTTTTTAAAAATGAAACTGCTCTTGAATCAATGCTCCCATAAAAATAGACTAAAAATATATGAAAAATAAAAAAATAAATTAAATCTCATTAATAAATTAAGAAAAATTTTCACATTAATATTAGCCTAAAATTTATTTAACTAATGAGAGTTATTTTTTTTTCCAATCAAATTGAAGCTACAAGATATATATATATATATATATATATGATGATCATCAAATTGTAAGGTTACTTTTTCAGATGATGACATTAAAATTCTAAAACAATAAATTTATGATGATTAGATCCTTAATACAAAAATTTAAAAAATATTTATAAATGTTAATTTAATCAGTTATAAATTTAAGAATTTTAACTACATATAAAATATTTAAATTTTAAATATAAATCTAAGATTGCAGTTGAGATTTTTGTTTACAATTATTTAAATAAGTATTTGCAATTTATTTTTAAAAACATTTTGCTAAAAATTTAATTGTCATAAACTCCCTATCATGGGCCTTTATTATCATGTGAGAATTACAGTTAGGTCCCACACAAGAGAATTAATTACTATAAGGTCTATTAACAACTGAATTAAACTACATTGATTGTGGGACTTTAATATCATTCTCCCTATTATCATCTCCCCTTATTTTTTGTTACCCTCACTGATTTCAAATATAGATCCACGTATTAAAGTAAAGCTCTTGAGGGTGTTTTCTTAAGAATGATTTTGGTTGGGAGTTTTGGAGGGGAAGGGAGCATTTGGTTAAAAAACTTTGGAGACTTCCCTTCTTCCCATATTGCTTCTCTCCATTTTGAGGATTTATTGGAGGGGAGCCAAAATTTATGATTAATTTACTTTTTTTTTTGGTATTTGTTTGAGCCTTCTTCCTATATACTCGAGCTAGTCATGTCTCAACATCTGCGTCAGTCTTGTACCCTCTTCTTTCTTATTCTTTGTATGTGTAACTCTATTTCAGTATTACCTGTGCATTATATAGTCATGCGAGCACCTTCAGCTTTCCCATGCCTTCTTCCAATTCTATGTTTCATCATTTTCAATGTCCTTTAGACCATGTTTGATATGATAGAAGAGTTTTTAATGAAATTGAAATCGGAATCGAAATCGGAATTGAAATTGGAATAGAATTGGATTTAAAAGTGTGTTTGGTATGATGATGGAATCCTGATATAATTTTAATAAAATATAAGTACTTAAAATAAGAAAAGACTAAAGTGTCCTTTTTAAAATTAAAAAAAATTATATTGGAGGAGAGAGAAGGGGCAAATTGGAGAAAGGGAACCATGAAATTGGATTCCATGATGCATATGATGAAATTGGATTCTGCCAAATTTCGTTGAATTTTGATTCCAAAGAATCATAATTATTACATACCAAACACACATGTTAACAGATTCCATGTCCAATTTCATTTCTTTCTCCATAATTCCAAGCTACCAAACGGGGCCTTAGAGTCTCAAGTACTGTGATTGCTTTTCAAATTTCTATTGTAATGATGAATTGATTTTTGATTATTAGAATAAGCCATTTTTCTCATACTAATGAAAAATTAAAATATTAAAATTTAATTGAGAATTTAAAAATAAAATAATTCAATTCTAAAATAAAAAAATTGTGTAGAATTGACATGACAATTAAGGTGCAAAATTATCTTAACTATGCAATATGGGTCAAGGTTTAAAATTATTTTTCACAATGAATAATTAAAGAAAATAAAACTTAAATGTAAGGATGTAATAGCAAATTAGTTGATACTTCCCATCTCCTCCCAAACCAAATAAGAAATCATTAAAAACCCTTCTTTTTCTCCAATAAAACCAAATAAAGTAATATGAAAACCCTCCTTTCCTTCTGAAACAAACATAGCCTAAAGGGAGATTTACATGTTTATCTTTTTTTTTATTAACAAGAAGGTGAAGATGTAATTTTGACAATTGAACATGTTGGGGTTCAATTTATTATTAATTTGTTGAATTAAGATGTTCCTAGTGTACATTTTTTAATAATATGAAATGAAGCCCATAGTTTTGTTAAAAAAAAAAAAAGAAATGAAGCCCATAGAAGCAAATAAACATTAGGATGGCTGATGGGATAAGATGGAAGAAAAGCATTTGTGATGGCGGTTAACATTAGGCACGCGGGAACATGACAGCCGATGTAATTTGGTTGCCCCTGGCAGGACGAGACGTGATGATAGGAAGAGTCTCATCAGCTCGACGTTAACTGTATGATGTATCACCGTCTGGGTTCGGTAGTCTACATATGGTTGGGAAGCAATTCATAGACGGAGAAGAGAAGACGTACGACTTCATTTCATAACGAATCATGCTCATCATGGAAGGTAAGTTCTGGCCCAAAACACTCCATCTAGCCATTTAGCCTCATTTCCCAGAGAGCCATGAATGGGGGCCGCTGCCATGGGCTTTCAAGTCTTCACATTCAAGAAACCCACTCATTAACACACAGCATTACAGTCACTCCTTTTTAAAAAAAAAAAAAAATTTGAAATATAAAACAGCACATCACCAAGAGTATAATTTTTCTTTTTCCTTTTTTTTTTAAAAAAGCAGGGGCTTACAGTGCGAGAACTCGACTAGAAAGCATGGAAGTGGAACTGGGTTTCCTTGTTGTGGAATGAGATGTACTAGCCTACTGGGTACTACCAGTCACCAAAGCGACGTCGTTTTAGCGCTCAGCAGTAGCACTTGGTTTTGACAGGGTCACAGGGCGGATGGCAGGGCAAATGGATTCTATATTGCTACTGTCCTGTGCAGAGTGACAGAGGATCCTTGTTCCTCCGAGAGACCCCTGCAAAAGCAGTGCGGAGTGCAAGGTTTGCTATTGTACATAATCATGCTGTAGATCTCCATCAACGAAACTTCCAGCCCTACGGTCCATAGTCTGGCTCCGGAAAAACGCTGTTTCTCCTTCTCCCGGGACCAGGAACTGCGATTGCAACCTTCTTCCATTTTAGGTCTTAGAATTGACGTTCCAAGTCTTAACCGAGAGGTTCCGAACGCTCGACAACTAATTGAAAAATGTCGGCCGTGTCTTTTTCTTCTTCCCCGGCAACTTGCTCAGAATCTTCAATCTCTAGACCAAAACATGCTTGCTCCGATGGTCTCAGAATCACCGTCCGTAGCTGTCCGGTGAGTTGATTCACTGGCTACATGTTGCTTGTCTTAGTAGCAAAATAAACTTTCTTGCTTGTTAGTCATTTGGTGTGCTTGAAAATTTGAAGCTCGATGTTAAAAAATGAAGTAATTCAAGAAATGGAAGATAGTTCTTCCTGATGCCTTTGTTTCTAAATGTTGGTGATTTGTCAGATATTGGTTCTAGCAGTGAATTACATTGTTTGTTCTCGTTTGTTGCAGGCTGCAGCAAGCTACTTTCGTGGTCGTGTTAGACTAAATGGTGGAGAGACGAACGTCTGCCGAGCATTTCATGGTTTGAAATTATGGCTTGAGAGGTTGAATTTTAATCTACAGAGTGAAAAATGTCGACTAGCTAAGGAGTCTAAGAGATCGAGAAGTCAAAATAGAAGTCGGCTGACGAATAATCTGGAAACAGGTTTATCAAATGAAAATAGGCCAACTTCCGCTTCGTGCTCAAACCTTGATGTTTCTGATGGTTAGCCTTTACCAATTTTGAGAGTTCTCTTACTATTCCACAGCACTTTTCGTCTCATAATTTGCTTGGAAACTTAATTTATTCAGTCTAAGCGGAAATAAAATAAGAAAAAAACCGTAAAAAAAATAAAACAAAATGATCATTACCAGAACTGCTTATACAGCATACGTGAACATTGAAGTTTTTCAACCTACCTTCAGCATAATGTTTCTGCAGATAGGGTCACGTCTAATGAATCTCCACCTTCGCCACATACAAGTTCCCCCAGTACTCCCACTGATGATAGTAGAGCACCCTTACTTTGCATTGCTGTTATAGGAGCTACTGGTGAGCTAGCAAAGGGGAAAATTTTTCCTGCATTATTTGCTCTGTACTATAGTGGCTTCCTTCCTGAGGTACAGCTAGTTTTATTTATTTTTTAACTTGACAGATCTCACTTGTTATACATGTTTGTTTTTTTTTTTTTTTTTGAGCAGAATTGTTATACATGTTTGTTAAAAGCTCACTTTATATATTGATATGTGATAACATGATGTTTTACACTGGGCAGATTCACTTACAGAAATACCTTTTTGTCATAATTTGTTTTCTCACCTCAATCTCATTAATATGAATTTGTCATGTTATGGGGTTCTTGGCCTTCTGGTAGGATGTATTTTCCAGATTAACATTTCCCCCTATAGTAACTGATTAGTTAGTTACTCCCTTTGTTAAAAAATGTTAGGCATTTTTTGGGAGAATTGTATGTTTAAAAATGTTAGGCATTTTTAGTATTTCAAGGTATAATTATTACCTTTTTTTTTTCAAAAATACCTCTATTGAATAAATCACTTCATATTTATTTGAGGATGAAATACTTTATTAAATAGGGATAAATATGGACAGATAGGGTTAATTTGAAGACAAATAACTAATTTATTGGGGGTGAATTCAATTAAAAATGCCTTATAATTTTTAACGGAGGGAGTAGAATTTAAGAATTATCGTGAAGATGGGTTGCATGGTGTGGCACTTTCATCTTTACCTATTCTAAAAATTTCAAATACTTTGTTGGATTGGCATTCCTGAGTGTGCAGAATGTTGCTATCTTCGGATACTCAAGGAAGAACATGACTGACAAAGACCTACAATCCATTATAGCTTCGACACTAACATGTCGGGTTGATCATCAGTATGTTACCCTTACCACTTATCCAAATTATTTCTTTCTGTCTTCTGTGCCGGTGTGCCCTGTTTCCAATTAGAGAAAGAAATCATTAGCATTTTATCTTAATCAACCAACTTGAGAAACTTACTGCTTCCTCGTGGTTTGTGGTTATCCACTCCCAACTTATAGCTCAAAATCTCTTGAAACGTTGACTTGTCATTTGAACATTTGTATTAGCTTAATCAACCATTTTCTCAGTCGCAATCATGAAAGAATAATGTCCATTTCCGCTCATGTGCATTTTTACATTATGGGTCTAAAATCTATGATTTTTCTGTTAATGTAAATGCAAATAAAAAATTTCAGAGAGAATTGTGGGGATAAAATGGATGCTTTCCTCAGTAGAACATACTACATCAATGGAGCTTTTGACAACAAACATGGGATGTCCAAGTTGGATGCTCGTATGACGCAGATTGAGGTAATTTTGAACTAATTTCATCAGTGTGTGGTGAATTCGAATTTCTTCTCCGAATCATTCTTGTCCAGCTCGTATGCCTGATGCTGTAGCAGCTTATTGTGGACACAGGAGGGAAGCAAAGCAAACAGGATCTTTTACCTTTCTGTGCCACAGGAAGCACTTCTGGATGTTGCATCGTGTCTTGCTAGCTGTGCTCAGACCCAGAAGGGCTGGAATCGTGTTATAATTGAAAAACCATTTGGATTCGATGAACTCTCTTCTCATAGGCTGACACAATCTCTACTTTCCAAGTTTCAGGAAAAGCAATTATACAGGTGTAATGTTTATACATGCATTCCTCCATCTCCTTCTCTGTCTAACACATCAGCTTGTGTGCACACAGAATTACCGATGCATAATTTATGAGTGACATCATTCTGTTGGCAGGATTGATCATCTTTTAGGGAGGAATCTTATTGAAAACCTCACGGTGCTAAGGTTTTCAAATCTAGTCTTTGAGCCATTGTGGAGCCGTGCGTATATACATAATGTGCAGGTAACTCTTTTGAAGTTTGATCTGGATGGTTCCTTGTTGCAAAGTTCTGCTAGTAATGTCATATTGCTTCGTCGCAGGTCATTTTATCAGAGGATTTGACCACGCAGCCTGGAAGGTAAGGTTTGAGTAAATTTAAGGAGCTATTGTGCGTGCTAATATGGGTGATGAGCTTTTCCACCACAGGCTAGCTGCTCATGCATGACATGAACAAAATGGCCTGTGCAGGTATTTTGGAAATTATGGGATTATTCGTGACATTGTTCACAGTCATGTACTTCAAACAATAGCATTGCTTGCCATGGAACCACCTGTAAGCCTTGACGGAGAAGATATTCGAAATGAAAAGGTACAGTACAAAAATTACTTTCACACTCAAAACCCTGAAGCATTTAATGGTGTTGGTAACGAGGTACTTTCCAGGTCAAGGTTTTGAGATCTATTCGCAAATTAGAACCAAAAGATGTCATCCTTGGGCAGTATAAAGCTAGTAGTGAAAACCATGTCGATGTATCCTTTAATCGTCTGACACCTACATATTTTGCTGCTGCATTTTACATTGACAATGCACGATGGGATGGTGTGCCATTTTTGGTCAAAACGGGCTTAGGACTCATCAAACATCAGTAAATATCATTATATTTTCTGTTGAATATTATATTTAATAGAAATATCAGCATGTATTTCGGTATGTATGCTCACCCGGGTTGGAAACTATAATGCAGAATGGAGATACGAATCCAGTTTCATCATGTCCCAGGGAATATTTACCACGGGTGCGTCGGGCACAACATTGAGCGTGCCACAAATGAACTAATTCTTCGTGATGTGCCAGACGAAGCAATCCTGGTTAGAGTTAACAACAAGATTCCTGGATTGGGGTTGAAACTGGACTCTTCCGAATTGAATTTGCTTTACAAGGACAAGTAAGGACCTGAAAAATGTTGCAGTAATTGTTGCATCATGCCGCTTGATTGTAATGCATGTGTGAATGTTGTGAGTTGCGACAGGTATAAATCAATGGAGGTACCTGACAGATACGAGCATCTTCTGCTAGATGTGATTGATGGGGATAACCATGTATTTATGAGAAGCGATGAAGTGGACGCCGCGTGGAACATTCTGAGTAAGATTTTGAATGAGATAGACAGAGAAAATATACCAGTGGAGTTGTACGAGGTCGGTGGTCGTGGTCCAGTTGGAGCATACTACCTGTGGGCAAACCATGGTGTGCCATGGCCAGGGGAATAGCATGTTGATTTCGTACCTATTTTTTTACTGCAAACCCCTGTTTTTTTGTCTTTAGTTGTATAACTTGGACTACAGCAAATAAATGAGATTAAAAAAGCTAAACCAAATAAGGACTGTTGACTTGCCAGGCTTCGTGATTCGGAGTCAAGATTGCCATGTTCTGCCTGTGCCGCCTGCTGCGTGGTTACCTTTGGGCCATTCTCATTAAATGTCTGTCAAGATGGTTGGGTGGTGGTGGTTGTTGTTTTTTTGGGGTGTGGTTGGCGCTTGTGCAAAAATTGAAAACATTTGGGCAATCGGACATTCTTGCATATTAGGACTTAGGAGTACCTTTGACCTTTCAATCAATATTTATTTTGATTTTTAAAGTGGCATTAAAAACTTTTAAACTCGACTGTAGACATATAATTTTTCACGAGGATGCTTTCCTCTCCTGGATGAACTTGTTTCATTTTCTAACTGACACTCGCAAGTTTATCTTTGCAATGAGTTATTATTCGCCTCGCCTTTACAACATTTTTATCTTTGCCATCTTGAAATGCTTCACTGTGTCGATATATGTACATTTTAGATCTAGTCATATTATTTGTAAATCATAATTAGTAAAATATTTAAATGAGTATAATTCTTGAGAAGCTCTTCCATACAGTATCACTATATCAGACTAGATAAATATATAGTTGTAATAAAAAAAAAAACATATCACGTTGCCAAAATGTAAAAATATTATCTTTTTTCTTTCACATGCTGCTCAATATACTTCCCACTTCCCTACTTTTTTGAGTCAAGTCTTCCCAGTACAAATTAAAAAATGATTTACAGGCCACTCAAGTGTTAAAAGAATGATCTTCAGAGACTTGGGTTTGGTCGCACTTGGCCATGAACCGGCCCCATCCAAAAGTGGCCCCCACTAATACTAAAGAAACTACAGATTCACGACAAGTGAACAATAGATATTGGAGGGAGAGAGAAACATTTGATGTTTTCTTAATTGAAAATTCGAGATGCCATCGGTAATTAGACTTTAAACTACACACATTTTTAAAAAGAAAAAAATATATCTGCAAATTCTTACAATTTTATTTAATTTTGAATAAGGTTTTTATAATTTATTTTATTTTAATTGAACCCTTATAATTTGATTTATTATGTATTTTAATCCTTAAAGGTTAAAATTAATAATGAATTAAAAAAATACTCTTGAAGTTTATAGAAAATTTAATTTAATACTTTTAGTCACAATTGAAAAAAGAAAATTTGATTCAATACACTATTCACACTTTATTAATTTTTTATTAAAATTCTTTATGTATAGAAAATACTTCCTCCAGTGTGCATTATAAGTCCATTTCTAGAACGTATACCTAATCCACAATATTGGTCATTGATAGATGAAGACTTCCCATTTTAAAATAAAATTCTGAAAATGCCCATCCCACTTTACTATTAGTAATCAACTTTTTTGTAAAGTATTGTGAGAGATAATTACTTAAAAAATAATATTATATTATTTGAATTATTTTTTAATTTTTTATTTGAGGGTGAGTTTTAAAATTTTATTTGTAATTATTCTTTATATTGTTGTTGTATTGATATTGGTGAAGTTGATAGATATAATTTATAAATAAGACCGGAGGTTATATAAATTTTGAGTAATAAAAATTATGTAATTTATTCTAAAGTTATCTAATCATTTAATAAAAATATAAAAGTTCTTAATTTTAGTTTTTCAAGAAAAAAATATAAGGACTTTAACTTTTTAGAGATTAAAATATTCAATTAATTAAATTATATGAACTTAATTAAAATAAAATAAATTATAAAAATTTATTTTAAAATTGAGTAAAGTTACAGAGACCTGTAGATATATCTTTTTTAAAAAAAATTGAAAAAAGATCATCATTAACATGTATATACAATTATACATGTGAAATGTGGCGCCAGCATTAATTAAGAGAAAATATGCTCGGTGTGATAGGGACATTTCCAACCACTCTGTACTGTTTGAGACGCTTCATAAATTTAATTTGATTTGTTTTAATTTAATAAGGTTTGGATTTGATTTACAAGTAGGCATTTAATGAAATGTTTTTTGAAAAATTTATCAAGAAAGAAAAAGAAAGTTCAAAATTAATTTATGATATTACCTCTTGCCTATCTTTAAATAACTACTACTATACTTCCTTTGATTTTATTTATAAAATATAAAAAAAAACTTACTTCTATTTATAAGTCACGTCATTAAATTTATATTATAATTTTTTTTACTCTTCATTAAATATTGAAGAGAGAAAATATATTATTAAAAATATATATATTTAATAGGGGTAGAATTAAAAATTTATTAAATTTTAAAATAGAGTTAATGAGTTTTAAATTTTTTTTAATATTAATAAAATATATTAAAAATAATTTATAAATAAGATCATTTCATTCATGCAATCTTTCAGATGTATTAAAAGTAGTATATTTTTTACTTTCTTCTTCTAACTTAATTTGAAAGAATTTAAATTTATAATCAAATTTACTAAATATAATTTTTCCTCTTATCAAGTTAAATAACAAGTCTATTTTTAAGATTGGATATTTATTTTTTATTGCTAATTCATTAAGTTTTTTATAATTTATAATTAATTTTAATTTTTTTCTTTTTTTTATTATGTTTAACTATAAGGGTATATAAATTAGTTATTAAAGATTTTATATTTATTTTGATATTTCGTGTTTATATAAGACCCTCATCATTTTGGACTTGACACATTTGGGTGAGTGGAGACATGACGCCATGAGCTGACGCAAATATGATGCTTCTTTTCTTTTTTGGATAACACAAATATAATGGTTTCACATCGAGCGGGAGTTGGCACTAAGCTCAATTACAATGATGCCCCTAGCTTGAGCGACCCTCTGGCGTCAGCAATGGGCATTATCATCAACCCACGGCCCGGTTTTTAGCAAATAACTCACGCGGATTGACCCGGCTTGCGGGTCAATTAACAGTGTTTTGTTAAGCAAACTCGCCAATTAAACCAGTAATCATCATATCCCCATTCAGTGACTCTGATATTTTTCAGTTCTTCAGTTCCTGTCATATATTCGCTCCTTATGAAATTCTATCCTTTCTCTTGGTCTCTTTGAATTTAACTTTCTTACTCAGTCAGTCTGTCTTTTTTCTCTCAAAATTTGCAGTGCAGGAAGCTGAATATATCGTGATGGACGGAGAGAGGATGAAAAGGAAACTAGAGAATGAGGAAGAAGAAAGCGAAGAGGAAAAGCTGGAGAAGTTCTATGCGTTGATAAGAAGCACAAAGGACGCACATGATCGCCTGGCTAACGCTAAAGACAACAAATCAGATAAGAAGGATGATTTTACAGAGAGGGGTAAGGGTGTCTGGAAGCCTGCGTTTCAACCAGAGGATTTCACTGATGATTACCAGCAAGCCTTCCGATGCACTCATCAGTCATCAAACCAATCTGCTCCTTCTCCTTCTGGTTCTACAAAGCACGATGACGTTGTGCAAGTGGCCGATGAACAACCGCCTCGGGCCACCGCTACGGCACCGCCGCTGCAAATGGGAGATGATGAGAGAGCAAATGACCGTTTAGACCTAAACCTTTCCTTATAATTATACTCTATCTATATATTATACGCGTGGTTTATTGAGAGGGTGAATTTGCTTAATCACCATATTATTATCTATGCATTATTACTCCAAGTTATTTATATACGTTCTTATAATTAAACTGGGCTGTAGTACTGAACTTGATCTACTTGTTGACGCTGATACGTGATTTTGCAGAAAACTATATAGCTCTGACTCAGTCGTCGTCTAAAAATACGGAACAATATCTATAAACATACAAGTTTCAATTATACTGGGAGGACATATAACCTCGTATCTCTTGAAGCCCTTGACTTAATCAACCCCGCCCTCGCCGATTTACTATATATCCATTAAGTCCCTAACAAGAGGCAGTGAAAATCCAGGTCTCTTGAGATTTTACTGCCCTTTGTTTTGTTTGTTTCCGCTCGTATATGTATGGTATATATAGTACTTGAAACGAATAATGCGTTTGCTATTATCGGAATGTCTGGCCTGGGAATCGCAGTTCTGGTTTAGTCAAATTGGGGGGGGGGGTGTCTTGTCTCCGAGAGCGGTGGTTTCTGATAAAAATGACAAAGATGAGGGGCCACCAAGGGCAACCTATATAAAATGCGCGTCCTCTCTATCACGTTCCCTGCGCCGTCAATTGAAGACAGAATGTCTTCAGTTGCATTATCTTTCCTTTGAATTTGAAAACTTTGTACCTTTTTCTCTGTAGTTCTCATCGGTTAACAACTTCACACTTACTGGGCTCAAAAAATGACTTGGAGAGTCATTATGATCCGCTTAGGAGTACCTTAGCTCATCTACATCTATGATCTTAAAAGCAGCAATGTTGAGGTATGCCTCATTAGCTGTCAACATTAACGTTTAATTGCTGTTATTTATAAATTAGATTCATTTTAAAATAAATTGATAGAGTTTGTTTTCTGTCAATGTTTGCTTCCTAATTTTTAACCAGCTAGTGATTTAGTGGAATGTTAGTAGTTAGCAGTATAGTTACTAATTTAACGGGATATTAGCAGATTTTTTATTATTTTTTATCATGATTTGACATATTTAATATTCAATTGTAGACTCAGTAAAATACATCTTCCCATAATATTTTTCTTGCTTTTTTTTTTTCACTCTTTATTCGACAGTCATTTTCGTTTTTCTTCCCCCCTAAAGTCTTCAAGCAACCCGCCTGTAAAAAGATCAAAAGTTTTATATGGAATAATTATGAAAGACTTGTCCCTTTCTATTTTTGCAACTTTATTGACTCCTGGCTTTTTATTTTAAAAATTTATACTTAGCGGTACTTGTATTAATTTCTTATGCTTAGAGGTAATTCACCTTTTTTTTAAGCCAAAAGAGGTAATTAACTTATATAATAATTCCTTTTATATATATTATATATATATATATACACACACCTTTGCAGAACTTGATCCTCTGGGGCACCAAATATGAGGCTAGGAGCACGAGAGCTAGGAATTTTTCTTGGTGGGGACTCTTCTCTCACGTCTTCCCTAGTCTATATATAGAAATCAAGATGGTAGAACTTAAATTACTATCCATAGACAATGTTTAGCAACACACAATAAGAGTAATGAAAAACATTACATTGGAGCCTATGAAGGAGATGGTCCAAGAACAAACAAATTAAACATGGTAAATATGGACCCTTCGCTTGCCAGGTTAGGTTAGGTTTGATGTTGATAGATTCATAGATCAGAGAGGCTTGGACCACGCATGAAAGCTTGGTTCGTGATGGTAATGACTCAATGAGATTTGATCAAGGAATTTACCAATAAACTCGGCTATTTTCCTGCTATTTCCCATATAAAAGCATTTTTATCAATTGATCAATTTCCCTCCCGTACCATTCTGAACCAAATAAGTGGTTTTTTTAAAAACACCTTCCCCTTTCCCTCCTTTTCCATCTCTTAAACTAAACACGGCCTAAAAATTCTCCAAACAAAATCGGAAAGGCCAGTGGACTTGTATGACTGGGTGTCTCTATATATCATAATTGAATGGAATGCAAAGTAGCTAATGGCATGCATGCAAAGCCGTGACTTTTTGCAGCCTTCATCACTAATAGTTTTTGATAATAACAAATATAATTACCATTCAAAATATACTTTTTATAATGGTAAAAGTTTTTTACTGTTAAAAATTTATTTTTATTAATAATGACAAAAGATATTGCCAGGAGATTTTTTTTTTGCAAAAAAAAAGGACCATCTAATGCCATGTGTGAACCTCCTCATATCATATCATCTATCAACATTTGCAGTTTTTCATGTCACATCGTTAGCACATCACTCCATGACACCTTGCTACATGTGCACCTCCTCACGTCATGTCATCAACAATTAACTCCACATCACTCTGCTACATGTGCACTTCTTCATGATACATCGCCAACACACACCACATGTACATCACATATCACATGTCACATATTTATTACAAAATTTGTCAAAGATAAGATTTAATCTTTTGACCTTTATTCCTTGAGCCTTAAATCTATTTTTGTTGTCAATTAAATTAAAATATATTTATAATTATTATAAATAAAATTAAATATATGTTATTTAACTACGTGCGTGAGGACACACAAATATCAAATAAGGCATTATTAAAGATATATATTATCTTTATTTTCAATTATTAAGGTGGTAACATAATTTATATGACTATATATATATAATTTAATAAAATATTTTTTTAGCAGCACATATTTTTTTTAGGAAAATGAATTTAAAATGAAATGGATTTGAAAATGTTAAATAATTTTCTTATAAAAATTTTAACCAATTTTTATTTTTTTTAAATAAAAATAATTAATTTTAAGTTTATCTATAAATGTGTATTATATTTCTTTATGTTAAATATATTTATTTTTTTAAAAAAATAATAAATAAATTATTACACATTTATATTCTCCCTAGTTAAATGTTTTCCCTTCTTTTATTAAAGATAAATTTTGTTCTATAAATTTTCAATTACCATAAAACATTATTTTAATAAAAGAATTAATTTTAACCATATAAATTTTGTTAACAGTCATTTAAAAAAAATTAATGAACATTTGTGACTTTTCTAATTATTCTCTATCTCATAACAAGAAGATAGATTTGAATAATTTTTTATATCCTTCTCAGTAATAATATGATGTAAAAATTTCATTAGTAACTTTCTTTTTCATAACAATGAAAATTTAAAACCTAAATGCTAGATAGAATCATAAGACATTTTTGTCAAAAATCAATTAGATCACAATAGACAAAGTAGACGCTATATGTATACTAGATCAAAAAATCTGCAATACTATACATCTTGTGATATCAATACAACTTTAACTTTCAAATGTCATTTATGTATTTGTATATAATTATTTATCTATAACCTAGCTTGATTATAGTTGAAAGTAATCATCCATATCAAGATTTTAATTATACCATATTAAAATAATAGCTTAATACGATCAATCTTAAAAAAGATGAGCTATATACATCTAAAAAAGATTATGTATAATACGATATATCTTCATTATTATTTCTTTTATTTCTTGATCTTATATATTATTAATTTCTCTCATTCTATATATAAGAAAATTTAATTTCATAAATATCTTTTGAATTATTTTATTTAATTTTAAAATAATTCACAAGAAATTTTTTTAATAATAATTTTATAAATTGTTTTATATAATTTAAAATTATATTTAATATTTTTTAAAAAAATACTTTTAATGACGACAAATGAGGCAAAAAAAATAATTATATAAATTATTTTTAATTTTTAAAATATTTTTTTATAAAATTACTTTTAATAGTGATAAAAGTTATTTTTAATGACAATTGTAAAAAGTTACTGTTAAAAGTGAACTTTTAAAAATAATTTTTTGTTGTCACCTTTAAAAGTTGTCATCCAAAGTGATATTTTTTTTTTTTGCAGTGAATTTCAATAATGAAGAACATCAGTGATAAAATTATCATGTAATTGTTGAATACAGTTTCCCCATTAGATGAAATGTCTAAGATAATGTTTCTAAGTTATTTTCATTTATTTTCTATGTCAGATATGAAATGAAGCGGGAACAGGCAACGTGGTATGAGATGTTCAGGATAGGATGCTTGATTCGGTGGGATATAACATAAGACAAGCATAATTACACAAGAGGGATGCTGTGGCAGCAATCCGATTTTGATGATCCACACTAAAACAGCGTTTCACCATGCGTGGCTGCGAGCCTTTTCGTGTTTCTCTCGACACAAGTAGCGCATAGAGGGAACAATAACACTCGTACTTCAGCTGTTTTTTGAGAAATATTCCACCATCCTATTAAAATTGACGTGTCAGTTCTTTTTCTACAAGGGATGATGAGCCATCACAAGAGGGAGAGAGGAAACGGACAAGAAAAGCACAGAGCAGAAGTTAAACAATCATCAATATATATAAATGACGCGCACGACGTCAAGAAGCAGCTGGCCAGGGGAAGAGCTAAGGACGAGTTAGTTGGCCATCACATGCCAAACAACTTCATCATTGATTCCGCTACCATCACATTCATTGCGCGTTCTCTTGTGTTTTGAGCATATTCTTGATTCAAACATTGCTTCGGCTCTTCAGGAATTGCCTTGGCTCGAGACCTCCTTCGTTCACGAAAGTAAACATGGGCTGCCTGAGAAAGTAGTACAGCCCAAATGTGCTCATCTTAATAACCCATGGAATTTGACCGAGGCTAGACCCAACCCAGAAAACAGAAATGACAAAATCTCATCACTACAGAAGGAACTGCTCAAGATTCACCTCTCTTTTCACAATCCATGCACGTGTCCCGTCCACGATATTGGATGAGGACACGCAGGTGAATGAGGCCCTCTGCAATTATCCTGTTTCATTAGATTAGTCAATTTACTTGTGAAAGACGCGCTCTTCTTGGATCACATGTCTGCTTTTGACCATGATTTAACTTAATTCTCTCGTGACTCCAGCTGGCTACATTACTTTCGAAAATTAAATAACCATCGGGGGGGGGGCCCTTTTTGGATGCCGGCCAGGCCCAAAGAGTAAAAGTTCACTTGATTTTGGCATATATGTCATATTTAATCAAAACAGCACTCTGATGACCTCTTACGCTGAATTTCGGGAGCAGAGAAATTGTATGGATAAGCTTCTTCGTGTCTAACTCTAACATCATCAATATTGATGCGGAATGGAGAGCATGAAGGATGAGTCAAGTAATCAGCCAATGGGCACCGTTTGTTGTAGTTGCTGACAAATAAGCATGGCTTGAAACTAATTGGTTGCTTCAAAACACCGAATACAACGAAAGCTGCTGCCAAAGTAGGAATTGCGTAAACACTAAAACCGAAACTCTTACCATATCTCCACAGTCTACGCTCCCTAAACTCGCGCCCTTGCATCATATTGTTAATTAACCATTTTTCCTCTCCCCCTTCTCTATATATCACCCACCATAACTATCTCTTACAACATGATGTATCGTCCAGGCATTATGGGGAGTGGTGACGTGATTCCAACATTGAGTATGATTCTGGTGCAGCTAGGTTATGCAGGCATGACTATTACCTCCAAGCTTTCAATACAGTCTGGGATGAACCCTCTTGTTCTGGTCGCTTATCGTCAACTCTTTGCCACTGCATTCATTGCTCCTTTTGCCTTTTGGTTGGAACGGTAATGCATCTATGCAACGGTCCGTGCAACGCGCGTATATGTTTGGCATTAGCATGTGGGGGTGTATGTAATATATATCATATGCTCCTCTTTTCGATTCTACTGAGTTTAATTTGAAGCACTACTACTACTCATGCCTATGCTGTGCACGTGTTTTTTAGAGTATCGCAGCCAAAAATAATTTAGAACAGAAAGCTACTGTAGCTCGTAACTTTTGTAACGTTCCAAGGAGCGTGGATATTTGGGAGAGATGCCTTTCTTTCTCGTAAATCGTTTTAACAAGGAATGAACTAGCTAGCAAAACGGGAAGGAGCATCCAGGCCTCACTGAACCATACACAAATATAATAATTTTTTTTTTCGATATCAATTTTCATTTCTATGTTTCTCTTCCTTGTGCAGGAAAACAGTTTGCAAGTTGACGGTGCCCATTACATTCCAAATATTACTATGTTCCTTGACGGGGTAAGCGTTTCGTATTCGCCAATTTTCATTTCCGATATATAGAATGTTTAGTTACAGTTGCGACCAGATTGAAGCTTTAATTTCAATAGCAGCAAATTAAACACATACTGAGTCCTCACATGATTTGATGTGGATGCAGAGTTACAGTGAACCAGATACTGTACTTCGTGGGGCTAAAATATTCCACCGCTACAATCGCATCTGCACTCACCAATTTGCTCCCAGCTTTCACTTTTATTCTTGCTGTCCTGACCAGGTGCCAACGGATCGTTTCTTCTATACATTTCTTCCCTTTATTTTATTTTATTTTGGAATTTCTTTTCCAGATGACCTTCAATTTCAAGTACCTCCAAATCCAATACATTGATTCATTTGATTTTTTTTTTTCCTTTGTCAAAAAACATGTTATGGAAGACAAGAGTGTGTGAGAATCAAAACAAAGGCTGGGCAAGCTATGGTGTTAGGGACTGTTCTGGGTATTGGCGGAGCGCTTTTCTTATCATTTTACCATGGCAAAGCTATCAATTTAGGCCGATCAGGGATTCACTGGGAATATGCAGAGAAAAACGGACAATTAAGCTCCATCTCCAAAACAAATACGTTCTTTGGTCCTCTTTTAGTGATTGGGAGCGCTCTCATTTGGGCTCTGTGGTTCGTAATCCAAGTAAGATTCGTCACAGTAAGTCATTTGTGGGTTTGCCACATAGACACGTGAATCATTATTATGGTTTGTTGAAAATCCAGGCAAACTTGTGCCGGAAGTATCCAGCTCCCTACAAGAGCACCGCCTACATGTGTTTTTTGGCAAGCATGCAATGCGTGGCCATCGCTTTATGTGTTGAACGCCAAGCCTCAGCTTGGTCCCTCGCCAATTCTATGAGACTCACATCAGCACTGTATGCGGTATGTTCTCTTCAATTTGGCCTCACTCACATATTACTGTTGTAAATATTATTGGCTAATCTTTTCGTCATACCAAGACGAAGAGATCATGCATGGCTTTTCAGTGCACCATGATTTGAGAATTTGGAAGCAGCAGAACCGTTTGTTCATGAAAAAAAACTCCAGATATGCAGGAATGAGTCAGATAACATTATTTGAGGATTGAGATCATGCAGGGTATTGTTTGCACTGGGGTAGCTTGTTGCTTAATGTCATGGACTATTGAGAGGAAAGGCGCTCTTTTTGTGTCTGTGTTCAGCCCGTTGCAAGCCGTCATCGCTGCTATTGTCAGCTGGGCCTTACTTCAGGAGAAGTTACACGCTGGAACGTGGGTAATAACTGAGCAAGTTTTATGAGCTTCTTTGACTGTGCTCTCTAGTCACCTACGCATCTGTAGTTCTGCCCTCGAATGTGAATCCAATCTCAGGTTTTTATTTATTGCAGCGCGATAGGGTCCGTCATGATAGTTTTGGGGCTTTATTCTGTCTTGTGGGGAAAGAGCCATGCGAGAGACATAATTCAAAAGACTGAAGAAGAAGCGTCGAAGCGGAATGGAATCGGCGATGGTACGAGTAATAACCAGGAGTTACAGCAGGTTGGCAGGCACGATACTGCTATTTAACTAGATCGGATGGATGATCTCCAATTTGGATTCTTCATCAATGTTTTGTACTTGGTGTCGTCCTTGAGTTTTGGACCAAAGTGATCACATACGGTATAGCTGACTTCTTAAGTCTTAATGACATGTTAACTGAATTCACCATTTAATATCAGCTAGATCAGAACAGCTGATCAATTAAAAAGCCGCAGAGGGGATGGTCTTGATTATATTTCTATTCGATCACTCTGTGTGTGTGTGTGTGTGTGTGTGATAGGACTCCATTCGTTCTCTTTTACGTGATGATGTTGATTAAAGAAACCCCTTCATTGGTTTATCACTCTCTAACATCGCATTGATTAATCAATGTAGACGGCCATGCCTCCTGTAAATGAGGGAGGGATTAACATTAAACTGCTATACGTGTGGACTAACATCATATCATACGTAAATGGGAGTGAAGTCATGAACCCTGCTCACATTTCTTATTTCTTTATTTTTTTTCTGGCCAAAAGCACATCTCATATTTCTTGATAATCAAAATAAAAAAAAAAACGTACTAGTAATTAAGTATATGAGCATTATTTCTCCACCAGGTGCATTTGTAATAATTTTTTTGGGTATATACATGTATTTTTTGTTGGCAAACACAAAAAGTCTGCATGCCTTCTCTCGAATCATGATTTCTTTTAATATTTTAACTTTTATTTTTTTAGGGCACATGCTTTAATTACCTTCTATTTTACGTAAAACTCTATTCTTAAGTTTTAAAACTTGAAAAAAAAATTAAATTTAAACAACCCTCACACAGTATGAATAGTTCATTACTAGAGTTTATTATATGTTATAATATTTTATACTTTGCAAGTTATAAATAGGGCAGCTCTCATCATATTTAAGGTAAATAAACTATGAAGCCCAAAATCTAATTTTATCTTAAATTTTGATATATTAATAATTTAAATCCATGAGTTGGTAGTTTGATTAGTTTCAAATGAAATAAATTTAAATCCCCTGCTACCATACAAATTCAAAAAAATGGTTTGGGCCTTTTTTTTTTCTAATTTTCTTTGTTCTTCTTCTCTTCTACACTTTTTCTTTTAAAAAAACGCATAAAATAACATGCCTTTTAAATTAAATTTTAAAATAATAATTTTAATCAAACATGACGCTGACGCCGTCATCATGACTGTTACTCCCGTTAGCCTGTATCTCGTGGCCACTATAAAAATTAACTGACGAGACTGCGCAAGTTCTCGAGCTTGAAACCTCCTTTACGCTTCGCCTTGGAGCCCATTCTTCATCTGCCCTCCTCTCTAACCTATCGCTCGTTCTCCTCCGTGTAAGTGCGCTTTCCTCTTTAGGCTGCTTTTTGAATATTTACTACTTGTCTTAATGTCTTGGAAGGGTGTTCGTTGGATGATTGAATTTCTATTGTAGATCTGAAACCTGGATCGCTTACACTCCATTCCTGGTGCTTGTTTTCTCTTAAATCTGTGCCTCTTCTTTTGAGATCCTGTTGTGTCTGGAAAACTTATTGTTGCAAGGAGTGCAAAAAAGTATGATTTGAATTTCTAGCAGATCTGTTGCAAGGATACATTTATACGTCTGCTTTTTTTATCTACCTATCTCATTTTTTCGGACTAGGCTTTTTAACTTGTGATCGGTGTATTATATTGTTATTTTTCATTCTGGTTTTTTTTTTCGTTATTTTCTGATATCGTTGGCTGCTTACTTCGATATTGTGCTTGAATCCAACAGCTAATACTATTCTGTTTGCGTGTCTGCAAAAGTTTTCAACTAGATGAAGATCTGTTTCCCCCCCTTCTTTTTCCTTCTGTAACGATACAATGTTTCTGTGATGTCCTGTGTCTTGAAGCTAGAGAGTGATCAATAAAGAAATGTGCCCTTCCATGCATTTATTGACATGTGTCTCTACTTGAATTGTGGATCCAGCTTAACTAAAGAGATGGGGCTGTCTTTCACCAAACTGTTTAGTCGACTCTTTGCGAAGAAAGAGATGCGTATTCTCATGGTAGGTCTTGACGCTGCTGGTAAGACCACCATCTTGTACAAGCTCAAGCTGGGAGAGATCGTGACTACCATTCCTACAATCGGTATGATACAAGATAATACGCAGATCAAAATTACTCTTTACATGCTTGTGCATTTTGGTTCGAAAATATTTCATTTTCTGAAATTGCAGAGCTTTGAATGCGTAATGGTTTTCTTGACTTGATTTCACCATCCAACTTCATTGTTGAACAGGATTTAATGTGGAGACTGTGGAATACAAAAATATTAGCTTCACGGTCTGGGATGTAGGGGGCCAAGACAAGGTGTGTGGTTAGTATGGTTTTGTTATGTGCTGTAGTTTGGAGAGATCATTTGCAGCATCAGAATAGTGTTAAATTTATTTTTGCGATGAATCTTACTTTTTCTGTGTCTTCCTTTTCTTAATTAAGTTTTTCCATCAAGGAAGGAAGGGTTTGAAAACAAGTTAGGTACTCCCTCCAGTCTTATAAGACACCTTCCAGAAGTGCTTTTTTGTTCAAAAAATAGAACACCTTGTAATAATTAAATCACTCTTTTCAATTTTACCACTTCTTGATTAGCGTGAAGGTATTTAATGTAGTTGTATTATTATTTAAAGCTAAAGGTATAAATGAAAGTACATATCACTTTTTTATGATATTAAGGAGAAAAAAAACTAATCTTTTTTTAGATGCGTGAAATGATTGAAAATGTTTTATAATAAGGACTGGAGAGAGTATTTTTTTTTATTTAAAATTTACCATCTACAAGATTTGCCTCGCGTTACCTGTGTTTGTTTTGCTGGCATATGTGCTTATGGACGGTCTTGTGATAATTAAATACGTCATCATTAGCACAGAACAAACAAATAAGCTTCATTTATTGGAGCCATCTTGTCTTTCAAGTTTTTCCTTTAGCTATTTCTATATGACGGAAGGCTAACACTGTTGTGGCTTACATGATAAAGCATATGGTAGTCCCTTTCTCCTTGAAACATTTGTTGTGCTTTAGTTTAAATGTGCAGGCAATCATATGCGTGATCCGTGATACTTGATTATTAATTTATGATCCATTTCATTGATGTAGACTCTGTCCAGTATTATCCATTTTTGTTAGCATATGTGCTTGTGGACGGTCTTCTGTTAAATAAAAGTGTCATCATTTGCGCACAATGCAAACTAAGCTGTGAATAATGGAGACACTTGTCCTTCAAGCTTTTCCTTCAATGCAATGGGGAAGGCTAACCCTGTTGTGGCCTTCACTGTAATATGAAACAGAGTACTCCTGGGGACAGTAGTCATGGTTTATGTACCATTAGTTTTTTTCCCCCTATTTACCATTTGATTTGGGGAGAAGGCTATCCGAATATGGCTTACATGTGAGATATAGGACAAAGACTTCCTAAGCATGAATTTTTTGTTGCAAACATATTTTTGTTGCTTACAAACTTTAAGTCCACCCCATTTCTTAAAATTCATTAGCTGGCTAATATTTCACCTAGTTTCCTGTCTATTTATATTTATATTTTAAGCTGGTAGGTGTGCAGTCTTGTAATCTTGTTTAACGAGTTACCGGGCTAACATTTCTTAACGTTTTACTGAGGTTAACTTGGAATCATGTTTGATGAACCTGCACAATGTTTACTCTAACTTGTTACATGAACTAGCTTGTTCCATTAATTGTTTTCTGTACCTGTGCTACAGATTCGTCCTCTATGGAGACACTACTTCCAAAATACCCAGGGGCTTATCTTTGTGGTTGATAGCAACGATCGTGATCGTGTTGTTGAGGCTAGAGATGAGCTCCACCGGATGTTGAATGAGGTATGTCAGAGTAGACTGTATTCTGAAACTTATTAATAATGAAGAAAGCTTAGCCCTTGATTCAAGTTTGTGATATTGAATTTTCCTAGCTCGCTCTTGCGCTAACAAGTGCAACAATTCGAGTGACGATGGTGAAACCTTTCGATAGTAGTATTACTTTCATTCCCGTTAACCAGTACTGCATTTTTGTGGTTTACCGTATAGGATGAGTTGAGAGATGCGGTGCTGCTTGTATTTGCCAACAAGCAAGATCTTCCAAACGCCATGAATGCCGCAGAAATCACGGATAAACTCGGTCTTCATTCTCTCCGTCAACGCCACTGGTATATCCAAAGCACATGTGCCACTTCTGGGGAAGGACTCTACGAGGGATTGGATTGGCTTTCCAACAACATAGCCAACAAGGTATGCTTAAATTTAAGATCTTCCTGTTGATGGTTACTTTTTCACTTCTTTTAAAATAATCATCTGGTTTTTATGCTTCGCGTTTCAGGCTTGAAAACAAATCATTTGAGGAACGCTGCAATGCAATCTTGTTTCGAAGTGGGTTTGAGTTTGGATTACTACTACGCTCATTGGGTTTTTTGGTGGCCCTGCTTTGTTACTGCTTACATTTTTTTTTAATTTAGAAGAATTTTATTATATGATAGCAATCGCTTGTTGTTGATGTAGATTTTGAATAATTATGAATGAGACATTATGCATGCCATGAACATAATTGGACACAGGTGAATTATCACTGCAATGTTGGTTCTATGTTGTTACTGCCTCCATTTTTTTTTTTAACAAATTCATTTATTTCTCTTGTTAAAAATTATTTTTACCGAGGCGTGTAAATATTTTAATGAAAAAACACAATCATTAATCTTTATAATTTTATCAAATTTTGTTTATAATTTTTGTAATTTTTTTAATATTTTTAATTTATACAGTTTTAGTAAAATTGGGTAATGTTTTTTAAGTTTTATAATTTCTGTGTTTTGATTGAAAATATTTGAAAAATCAGAAAAAATTTAATAAAATTATAGAAATTAATGATTGTTTTTTTTTTATTTTGACCATATTTTTTTAAAAAAAAATAAAAGGGCAATTTATTCTAAAGTCATTAGTTAGCACTGATTAATTCATTAAAGGCCCAAAAATTGGGCCCGGAGCATAAAGAAAACCACCATAAAAAATATATAACAGACAGAAAACTTAAAAAAAGGGGGGGGGGGCGCTTTCAAGATATAGCCAATGAAAACACCATCAACTTCGAGGAGGAAATCATTGCTGAAACAACCGGGCGGGGAAGGCATCTATGTAGCAGCTGCATGGTCTTCTTTGGCTGTCTCTCAAGGTACTTAAAAGGCAGTAAGAAGAGAACAAGACATTCTCAAATAGGTGGCAGTAAAGCCAAAGATTTGCAATAACATACAAATGTCCCAAAGATGCTTGGACCTCCAAGATTAGTATAGTTGAAAGCCATATTGAGAGCCCTTGAGAAAACACTAACGGACAGGACCAAAAACAATAAAAAACCAGCAACATGAGTAGCCTGAAAAGAGGAGGGAGAGCATGACACTACCCATTTCATGCAATTCTCATGTCAAAAGTCTCAAGAAGATTGAAAGCATCAGTATCAACATGTTGGCTAGAACCATTGCAGTGCTTTGGACAAGAAAGAGACATACCAAGACTAACATCAAAACCTTCCCAATCATCAACACACACTCCAGAGTCCAACTCTCATTTGCCTTTCTTACAAGGCAAGAAGAGGAGTCTCAAACAATGGTTAAAAGTGAAAAAAACCCGAGGCAGTAACACTCAAATCGACCTCTGATGAAGTAGGTTCATGATAAATCTCCCTCTTAGCCAGCCGAAAAGCCGTTTCTAACTCATGAGAAATAGTAGAAGCTTTCGGCTTGAACGTGGCAAGTTGAGGAGAAGATAATCTAGAACGCACGAGCATCACCCCACTCCACTTAGCAGCTGAGTGGAAGGAGGAAATGGGCTTCAGGAGAATACGCTTGACACCACGGAGAGAATAAGTAAAGCCCGTTAAACTGAACAGCCATCGACTTTGAGAAGCCTACAAACCTAGCAAGAAGATCGCACCTACTCTGAAACGTACACACCGACTTCATGCACCGAAAAGAAGAATGACTGACATGCAAACAAGAAGAACAAAGATGACCAACATTATTTAAGAACAGAGAGACTTCTACAGGATCACAGGAGTAAGAGAACAGAACTAACTTGGATGGTAACAAAGAACGACAGGAAATAGAAACTTGAAAACGCAAACCAACATTAGAAAACAAACAGCTTCCATGGAACTGGACAAGGAACCAAGTCTGTTGCCAATAAAAGAGGCAATAGACTTAGAGTAGTAAGATAGAAGAGGACCAAAAAGATGAATTCAAATGCAAAAAATAGAAAAAGAGTCACGAGAAAAGGAGATGGCCATCCAAGAACAAAATAAATCATATTAAGCATTAAAGCGTTCATCAAAATCAATAACCAAAAAAAATTTATTTACAAAATATTAAAGGTTCTCATGAAATCCCTCATGATAAAAGAGAATGAGCTAGTTGTAGCTCTAAATATGCAAAATAATTCAAATTCAATAAAAAGATTAAAAAAACATAGAGAAGAATAGAAAAACTCTATAATATCTACTTAAGAATTATTCAGTTGTCTTTTAATTTTCAATGATGCCTCTCAAACCTCGGTTTATACTTTAGAATTGCCTACTTAATTCCAGATATAAACTTTTCTCTTTTTAGAAGCCTGTAAGTGCTTCATTTATAACTTTTTTGCACACCTTTGGCCTTTAATTTCTGTTTTTATCTTATCTAATTTTATAAAATATTGTTTAATTTCATATTTGGATTTTAAATCAGCTATTGCCACGTGTTTTTTCTCACGTCTGCACACGATCAAATTCCTATTCTCTATGGCCGTGAGTGGTTGAACGATGAAAGAGCCATCTCCTTGAGCTCCTCCGTGCATGGTCGAGTGTTGAGTCTCAATATGTCTGTGCATGATGGACTTTTCTTCATGCAATATCCACGCGCGATCGAGTTTTCAGAGGGTGGCTTTCTTCATGCTGGCTACATCTATGGGCATAGATACGTTTGTGTGTAACATTCAATATCTCAACCTACTAACTTGCAAGGTTAAACTAATCCGAACTGAGCTGAGAAGGCTTAGTTTTGGGGGTAGGCTCTACCACATTCTCCTAGAAAGATTTACAACACTACTGCATTCCCAGACTTGAATTCAAGATCTAATTATGTTAGGACAACTCCAATACCAGTTGACCTAAGTGTTTGGTAATATAGACATAAATACTTGCTGCTTTATTCATTCATTAGTGGACAACTTTTTTTGGACTTATTTATTAGGCTTTGATTGGTATTTCATATTTTTGGCCTTTTATATGTTCTTTTTGCTCATTTTTTTAAAAATGCCTAAAAATAATTAAGTGAGGTATTATATTCAAATTTCTATCAATTTACACATTAATGAGCAAATAAAAGAATAAAAAATATATATTAATTTAAGTAAAATACCCACCTATCAATCTCTGAGATGCCAATAAACATCAATCAAAGCTCGGAAGTTAGAAGCATGAAAAACACGATCATCAGGAACTTTAGAGACCAAGAAATGCCTAGGACAAAAATTAACGTGCAAACAATCAAAAGAAGGAAGAAACATCGTAAAACAGAGGGGAGAGGCCAAACAAAAAGCCAAAAGACTCTAAAAAGTAAGAACAAAACCAAAACCGAGTGATCTTGACTTCTAGCTAAGGATCATTGTTATTATCGCAATATCAGTAATACAATGTTGATTAGTTGATGTGTTTTCCAATAGAAATTTATACAATATTTTAATTTAACGTCAAAACTTGTGTATATAAGTTTAATTGAAATTGGGAATAAAGTAATATAAAACTTAAAACACGGTAAACATAAAAATCGAAAAAAAAATTCTAAAAACGAAACAATCATTAAAATTTCTTGCAACTTCAAGAAACTCCAATAATTTCTTTTAAATAAACAACCGAGGGCAGTTTCTTCCACTCTCATTGGGAATTTGAAGCTATTTTCATCTTAAAATAATTTAAATTTTCATTTTAAAATTTATATAGTTACAATGATTTTTTTAAAGGACTTAAAAAGGTATATCAATTGCAAGAATAAATATAAAATAAATTTTTATTAAAATAAAAATATATACTTATTTTTTTAAAATGAGACTTATTATTAGTCATTGTTAAATAAATTTTTTATTAAGTTCTTAAATGTGATTCTTGCTGAATTATTAGATTTCAGAATCCGAGTTTAAGGCAAAGTGGACATGTAGGGTAGTGGAGGTAAAAAGAAAGGAATGGGCCGCATAAGCGATGAGCGAGCCCCATTAGCCTCGATACTTAGCTCAACCCAAAGATAAAATATACCCTGATGTTGAGAGCAGCCCAAATAAGGACAACGGATGAAAATAAATAATTGGCCCATGCAGGTTTCGAACCTGCGACCTTCGCGTTATTAGCACGACGCTCTAACCAACTGAGCTAATAGGCCTTTAACGGCAAAGTGTTTGTCTGGTTTAAAAGTTCAATATGAATAAAATGATTGTCACTTACCTCGACCGGGCGTTTGCTCACTTTTTGGCTTGGAATTTTTATAGACGTAAATTACGCGTGTGTGTGTGATGCTTACTCAATTTTAATTATTCATTACACGGAACTTCCTAATAATTTAAGATGAATTCGCTGGTATAACCAGAACGCTAGGGATCTTCATAAATTTGCCAACGGAATTGCTCCCACTCTTAGAATTTAGAAACGGCTTTCAAGTAAGACACTCCAAGCAAGACACATACGAAGCACTGGATGAGTAACAGCCGGTCCAAATCAAATAAACACATTAACTCTGTGTCTGTGCACGCATATTGGACGACGGATGAACTACTGAGAAACGATTAATTCACCAGCCACCATTGTCTACTTAATAAGTTAACGTATACCACTTCTTATTCAAACCCCTCAACCTCTTCTGGTTCACACTTCACAGAAAGTATATCAGGCGACTAATTGAATGTCACCCCTGTATACGAATCCCCCGTCGCAGGGGCTCATTAGTGCGGCAGAAAATAAAAAGAAATGGAGAACCGTAAATACGAAAATAATTATATTCAATTTGATAGAAGGACGGATACCATCACAGCTCAACAGCACTACACTACTGTGGCTGCAAATTCATCAATACAAACCGAGGGAGAAAAAAAATTTGTTGGGGGGAAACGGACTCTGTACGGTCCCCCATGTCCTAAGAATTTAAAGCACCAAAAAAAATTTGTGAGTTGCGTTGGATATAGGAATATCATCCAGATCACACAGAAAAACCAAATAAGTCGACTCTGTACTTGTTTACAGACCATGAAGTGCATATATAAGAAAACTAAGCGGCAGAGGGGGCGGGAACGAATGCAACCCTAGCAGCCTCGGATAGTGCCTCTTGAATACGCTCTATATTCACTGGGTTCGCATTGTCCAAGGTTTCGTCCTCGTATATATCCCACCATTTGTCTACTAGCATCTTGATGTCTTCCCTGTCCATATTTTCCTCTTTCCCTGTGTATCTCCATGGCTTTGACCCCTGTCACCCACATCATTACAATCATATATCAGTACTGTACAAGTTCACACCATCATGATCCACACCTAAAAGTTCACTACACAAGATACTCACAGCAGCACAGTAGTGAACCACTTTCACTTTGTGAAGCTCAACGTTCTCGGGATGACGCCACAGCATGGCCAGCACAAGGTTGTAAACGTTCGGTATGGGCTTATATTTGTCCTTAAAGTACATGTTCAGAAAGTCCTGCAAACAGAACATTTGAATTTAATCAAACACAAGCACGAGAACAAGAACAAGGATAGAATCGTTTTGACGAAGCGTGTATATACCTGCTCAGCGAAGGAAGTAGGCTCGGTGACCAGGAGGGTCTTCAGGAGGTCACGGTACGTGGAGAGACTGGGCTCGCAAACAAACATCCCAGCGTTGAAGTATAGTGGAGGCTTGGGTCCAAGCTCGGCTCGCCACTGAACCTTATCAGGGCACTGCTGACAGTAGCCGATCTTGTACTGTGGGGTGTGGCTCCAAGTTTTCTCACAGAAACAGTCCATCACGGCGTAGAAGTACCCGTTTGGCAAATCAAAAAGGTGGTCTATGTTGTCAAACACTTGGATGTCTCCATCAAGATAGATCATCTTGCTGTACTCCACCAACTGCAGAATTTCCCATCCAAGTGAGAAACGACACACGACAGATATATGGGAGTGCAAAAGCCATGACTCGACAAGCGAGTCGTGGAATACGTTAAAGACATGCTATGCAAAGACAGAAAGAGACATAGAAACCAACCTCCCAGATGCGCAGCTTAGAGTAATTGATGACATAATAAGCCATGGCGAACTGGGTTTGGTTCTCCGGAGGGTGGACCGGCTCGATCTCGCGGATGATGCAGCCTTGACCGATCAGAATCTGACGGTGCTCCTGGGGCACATCTGGCAGAATAGCAACCACCAGAGGGTACTTACTCTTCACCTTCCTCAGACCTTTGGCGAGTCCTACCACTCCCTTCACGTAGTCACCATTTCCGGCCAGGAAAGTCACGAAGGCACGGTCCCTCCCGCTGGCCTTTGCTTGGATGGCGGCAGCGTTGGCAACGGCGACGGTGATATCGGGAGCCATTTTTGTTTCCGGCGAGGGTGTTCCGGAGTTGACGGTTGGACAGAGTGAGAGAAAAGGAGTACAGGTTTTGAGTGTGGAGTAAGAGGAGGAGATGTGTAAAACAAGAGAGCAAAGTTGGTTTGCAACGAAGGAAATTGGTTCTGGTGTGAAGAAAACTGAGATGGGGTGGCGTTGTTTATATAGAAACCTTGGTGCGGTCTTGTTCGCGGTTAAAATTAAAGAAATGAAATTGAGAGTGATGACAATATAAAATATTATCTTTGAACTTTTGGAAGTTGAGGAGATTTCAGATTTGTACCGATGCTAGGATCTCAATCGCTCTAATGACGTCTGGAGGCTAAATTAATCCTTTTTTTATTTTTTATTTTTTGGGCCGAGACTAAGCTAATCCATTTTGAGTTGGACTTTTCCGTCGTCCGGTCCCACTATTTCCCGAAGGTGGTATCGCCATGTGAGCCCCACGTGATGAGCGACAAATCTCTCTCCGCGCTTGTCGGCAACTTGATCCAATGGCCCTGGAATCGGACGGTGCCATAGCTGTCCTTTCCGAGGAATCAATTTGTCACGGCATTATCGTTTTAGTGCACTTTGAGCATGCTGCCCTGCTTAAATGCACGAATTAATATATTGATACGGAATATCATTCCATTTTTATTTTCTGATTGAGAAAATCTTAGAATTTCATGTCGCGCCTTTAACGAATGGTTGCCATCATTTTTTTTTTGGGTCCAAAAACGCAACGAATGGTTGCCATCTGATCAAGAACACGAGGGAGGAGTGAACCAGATTAATTAATATAATGAGTGGTCGGGCCAAAAATGAAATGACATTCAACCAGTGACGATCCAGCAAAATAAATCAACAGGGATGTAATTTATATCTAAAATAAATATGTATATTTTTTATAAAAAATAATTATATATATAATTATATTTTTGAGAAAATTAATCTTTTAATCCCCTAACTTTTAACTTTTTTATAACCCAAGTTCTCAACTATAACTCACTGCGATTTAGTCCTTCAATTATAACTTGTCTATGACTCGGTCCCTCAACTTTTAACTTACTTTTAATTCAATCCCTCAACTTTTGTTAGCTCTATTTTTTTATGTTAATTTAAATCTCACATTAAAAAGCAAGAAGAGGATATTTTAAAGTAAAATGTGAACATTTTTTTTATTCCTTTTATTTGATGAGGAAAATTTTAAAAAAATTAAAAAATAATGATCGAGTTATAAGTGAAACAAAAGTTAAGGGATTGAGTTACAGTGAGTCATAGTTAAGAGATTGAGTTACAACAAGTTATAATTAAGAGATTGAATTACAAGTGAGTTAAAAGTTAAATGACTTAAAAAATAGTTTTTTCTATATTTTTTATATAAGTTAATAAAATTAAATATTTAAAACAACACTTAAACATAGCATTAGAATGGCATAAAATATTCTCTTCACATGCAGCATCATGTTTTTTTAATTTTCATTAAATAAAATTTATATTCCCTTGCTTAAAAAATATGAGACATTTTTAATTAAATTTTACTTCAATAAACTAGTTAATTGTCTTCAAACCAACACTGTCTTTTCATATTTAACCCTATTTAATAAAGTATTTTATTTTAAAATAAATATAAAGTGATCTATTTATTAAGAGCACTTTTTAGAGAATTTCTTATCATTATATTGCCTCCAAATAAATTACATGTTTGATAATTTTGTACAAAATTTTTTTCACAAACAATTTCTCTTTTTGAACTATTACTTTTCCATCATAAAACTATTGCTATTCAAAGTTATATATATATATATATATATATATATATTATAGTTTTAGACAATAAATTTTTTAATGGCATGAGTAAAATTTTATAAGGCAATAAATAAAATTCTTTTAAAGTGAGGGGGAAATTAAATTTTTTTTGAGGGAACAAAAAAATATAACCTAAACCATTTTAAATAATTTTTTCTTGGATTGTGAGGGCAATTGCCCCCGCTATAGCAAACATGGATCCGTCCCTACATTAAATTATAACTCAAAAATATATAAGAGAAAATGTCAGGCCCAATAATCTATCTACTAAAACAAGATTCTATTCATTTAAAAAGGTACCTCCCACACTAAGTAAGGGATAAATCATAAAAGAAATATAACTGTTAAGATCAAAAGAGATGGGTCAAAAAAATCGTTGTTTGAATGTGGGTCATTACTTGAATGTGTCTTGAATCTCATGAGATCGTCCCCAAAAAGAGCAACTATGCAACTAGGCTCTTTGTTTTGTGAACACAACAACCTTAAACTAGCATTATAAATAGAGCTTCGATGGAGAAAGAAAATAACAACGAACAACCAACAATTCATCCAAACACTTGGTTACTCAAATTATCTTTTACCTTGTATTTAGAATTTAATTTTTATTTTAATTCCTTGTAGTTCTGAAACTTAGTTTCAATAATCAAACAATATTTTTTCCATTATCCTTACATTTTTGTATTCGTATAAATTAAAATAAAGGAGTCTAAAAATCCTTTATTCATATTTAAAACTCTGTGTCTCTCTAACACGATTGGTAGATGAACAATGTGATTTAGAAAACAATAAGCATGAAGGCATGCAGTGGAAACAATTCAGCGCCCGTTTGGATATGTTTTTAATCGATTTTATTCTCAAAAAAATCAATTATTTAGTTTATTAGTCAAACATCTGAAAAAACAAAAAATCGATTTCAACCCTTAAAATCAATTTTTTTTGAAAAGCTAATATTTTGAGCTTTTTCGAAAAAGATGATAAAAAAGTATTGGAGAAATTACATAAAAAGGTCCAAAAAAATTATAAAAAAGCACAAGATTTTATTAAAAAAAAAAATCAAACTCCCTTCTCTTCTCTTTTTTTTTTTCTTTTTAAAATTTAAATTTTAAATTTTTAAAAAAGTTGCTAACATATATTAAGTTAAAATTAATTTTAAAAAAACAATATCCAAACAAATTACGTTATAATATAATTAATTATGATTAAAATCTACCACTTAATCAATTATTTTCACAATCTATTATACCCAACTGAAATTCAAACGGACCCTCATTTGTTTGACTTTGAAGTTTAAGTATACTCATCCTATGTATCAGACATTCTCTTGAAGATAAAGCTAGCTTAGTTTATAATGTATTGTTTCAAATTTAAATATAAAAAAAAATTAATTTCCGTAATTTTAACAGTGTTTTTGTGACTTGAATCGAGATTTTGAACTTTGATATTTTTGGACATATAAGTTCACGTGACAACATTTTTTAATTTAATTAAAAATTGTCTAAAATGAATAAAATACTGGATAACAACAGGGAATAATACATATGCAGAGCCCTTGTCCCCGAACAAGAGACACACGATATCGTATATGACAATATTTACCATGCAGAGTCAATGACAGCAAAATAAATACAGACAAGAATATGGGTTTTAATTTTTATTGAACCAGAAAAACTGGACAAGCGACTTTTCTGTTCAATTGAAATTAGATGTATTAACTCCAGAAAGAAAAAGAAGTGGTAAAGAGGGATGTAAAATACAGGTAGGCTGATTCGCTTGCACCGACCAGATATCACCGATTGGCCCTGCATAATTAACAAAGCACCACCACCATAAAATAAATTGAAAATTCCAAGTGAAGGTCACCGGAGAGTGGCCACGCCACTGTTTCCAGACACGTGGCATGCTACAAGACGGCCGTTACTTTTTGGGTACATGTCTCAGGGTCAGGGGAGTGATGAATTACGCTGATTCCTGCTTTGGCACTCAAGGAAGGAGCCACTCAAATCGCGTTTGTTTCAGACTTGTGACTATTTTAAATTAGGTGGGGTCCATGAAATCCGTTGCGTGTCCATTGGGTAGCCACGACCGACTTTGGTGGGCACGTGTAGAGGCCCCGGAAGCGCGACGTGGCGCTACGTTTAAGTTCTTTGGACCGCGTGATTGACGCTGGACTCATTCCTCGTCTGACCAAGCAGCGGGGCCAGCCTTTAACCCCCGAGAGTTGGTTACTAATAGTGAGGATAATGAAAAGAAATTTAACATATTTTATGGTACATTTCTTTGAATGTTTGAGGATAATGCAATTCCGCTCGAAGAGGGAACCGACCATAGTACTAATGCTAAACGGATAATGATGTGGACAGTTTGGGTGCCAGATAACTTGGTTAACATGTTAATCTGCTGGCGAAGCTTCTCGCGGCAGGCGGCAGTATTTTTCCTTTTCCTCACCGGGAGAGATCACGAATTGATTGTTTGGCGTCCTTAAATTCAGGAAACTTCCTAGTTGAGTGCTGGTAAATAGCAAAATCTTTCTCCAGCACTACAAGGAATGAATAGGGAAAGCCAAAGCTACGTTTTCTTTATTCTCTCTGCCTCTCCGATTCCCATATCAACCGATTTATTCTTTCCTTGTTTTCGTTTTTTTTTCCCCTTTTGGCATCAGAATTTATATTAGAACACTTTTTTTTTTTATTTAAGTTTGGAAACCTATATCTAATCTAAGGCCCTCCTTGTTTCATAAATTATTTTTAAGCAATGGGGATGAAAATAATAATCCAAACGAACAAGGTAAGTATTGGAATGAGTAATACCAAATAACTATAATATTCCCTATATAAAAACATATTAATAGATTCTTTATTGCACTTTTTAATGATAAAATATTTTAATTGAAAATTGTAAAGTGTTCATTTTTTATTTTTTCAACACGTGCAAAATTTTCATATCCTTATGATAAATAATATTTTTCAAATTATTAACGAATGATTTTAATTTTGTCATCACGAATTTTTTTTGGGCCAAAATTACAGAATGTTTTTTAAATCATCAACGCAGCAAAAATATGGTGGTCAAGTATGGATGAGCCACCACCTGGTCAAAAAAATCGTATGGATGAGGATCACGAAGACCCAAGATCTCCAAAATCCTCTAATCGACGTTCATTATCTTCTTGCGTCAGGTTTCACCCTTACAAGAAGGGTATATCAGTCAATTCATCCATTTCCAGAATCTTCTTCAATTTGTTTTTGACAGGAAAATGACAACATTCTCATTAAAAGCCGGAATGGCCGTTGCCATTGGAACGGAAGAGTCCAAGTAACCATTTTAATGTTTTAGATGAAACTTTCCTTGAAACCAGGCCAGTCTAAGTAAATGGATATGCGAAGACTCTAAAATAGTGAGCCTTTCATACATGGGTGCTGAGGCCAGTGGAAAAGAAAAGTAAAATTGGGCTCTGTTGGATCTTCTATGGGGCCCAATTAGTGTGATAATTTTCACGAATGTAGGAAACCGAGCTGACAAAATAAAAGACTGAGGACCTGTTTGGGCTGGGACATGGTGCTTTAAACTACTGCAATCTTGTTGGAGTGAAACAGGGGCATCAAGCAGTAACAAGGCTCTTGCCCAGAATCATATCATCAGTTGAGAAATCAGCCTCTTTTCGGTAAGTTCCTCTACCAAAGTCCAGGTTGTAGGAATCTGCAAGACCTTCTACTAGCCCAAATTCTGGCTCCCACCCCAGCACGCTCTTTGCCTTCTCTATGGATGCAAAGAAATGCTGCATGTAATTTACAAAGTCACCAATTAATCAACACAATTCATCATAATTCAAAGTCCCTTGCATCTGATATTGTTCCCATTTATTTATCTATAAGCCATCAACTAACAATCATGCCACTGCCCTTATCACCTGGTCGCGAAAGGGAAATGCCTTCTTCTTCCCAAAATCATAGGCTTTGGGATTGTAGTGAATGATCTCTGGCTCTGGGAACCCACCAGCCTGCACGATGCCCATAAGAAGAAAAAAGGGCAGAAAACAACTATGTTGGTTAAAAAAATGGCCAGATTAAGGAATCCGTATCATTTTACTGACATGAACTGCTTACCTTGGCACATGCTTTTGCTAAACCATCGAAAGTGACATATTTGTCTCCTGAGATGTTGAATACTTGCCTGCTGGCCTTATCATTAGCAAGAACCTTAATAAAGGCCTTTGCCAAATCCTGTCATAATTGAACCGTACTTTATCAATAACAAAAATATCACGTCAATTTAATTCCCATTCCCAGTAGGCAGTAGCTAGAAAATAAGAGCAGTTATGCGGGATGTAGTAATCTTCAGATGCTGGGACTACTTTTGGATACCTTAACATGTCCGAGTTGGGTAATCTGGATGCCAGAGCTGGGAATGGGAATGGGGCGACCGGCTTTCAAACGGTGGAAGAACCACTCTTCAACAGGGTTGTAGTTCAAGGGTCCATAGATATACACTGGCCTTATTGATGTCCAATTCACGCCCTTTGATTCCAGCAAGCTCTCTGTCTCTAGCTTCCCCTTGTGTCTGCTCTTTGGATCTACTGCATCAGTCTACCACCCCACCCCATCCCCCACCAACATGTTTACCCATGATTAAATTAAGTTCTCAAATTGTATAGTTCACTGATAGGAACTAGCATCATCATGTCATGCCACAAAGTCACAAGATCATTTTTAAGTCTTATATTATCTTCTAGCATTACAATAGTTTATTGTGAAAGGAAACCATTAAGGTAACTGACTTCGTCAAGATGTGATTGTTTGGTTCCATGGATTTTGTTGTAAGTTTGATGCTTAACACAATTGTATCTTACAAGTAGCATCGGAAAACACAGTAATAAAAGCCTGCCAAAATCTTCTTACTCACCTCACAATGAGGCAATAAATCAGATTTGAGATAGACACCGGCAGAGGAGCAGTATATGTACCTACAATTTAGATCCCAAAATTAATCATAATACGATCCATCGAAGCATCAACAATCATACAGATTCTGAATGACGCTACCCTTGCAGTTTTTTTTTTTTTTTTGAAAAATATAATTTTAAATCCTTATGCTTTGCTTGAGTTTTATTATAAATCCCTATACTATTTTTTAGTATTCCAACTCTTTACACTTTTCTCTATCTGCACCTTAAATCTTTGTAACACTGCTAATGGAGGACCTAAGGTGCAAACAGAAAAAAGTATAGGGGCGTAAAATAAAAAAAAAGATACAAAACCTATAACAAAAATCGAGCAAGTATAGAAGTTACTCTTCTGCCAGATGAACTTCATCTGCATATCTAACGACCACCATCTTAACCCACCATTTTCATTCATTGATAACAAATTTCAATAGGCACATACATGAGCAACTGGAAACCAGAAGGTAACAAACAGATCATATATAGCTTTTACTTTAAGACTTCAAACTTTCCTCTTTATGAGAAGAGAACTGGAGAAAACTTGCACACAATCACCGTCACAAATGATTGCTTTATTATATTATTTAACCATCTACGATTTCAAATTGTGGATGGCATTTCCGTGGAAAGGACGACTTCTGAAATTTCAGAATTATTTAGCCTGACTGAATTTGTCGTCAAAATGAACTAACTAGGTGACTGATTAATGAACAAACGAATGACAAGCCGTGTCTATTGCTGACTTTGATTCGAGAATACTGAAAAAGACTAGTAGTGATTACTGCTCCAAATTTGGCAAAGCTTCGATTATGGGCTCTACTTCATTTGCCTCTCGTCCTGGAACATATATCAATCAATCATTATGCGAAGCCGAAGCGTGAGACATGCAAAGAAATAGGATCAACTATATTGAAAAATGTGAAGGATGTTAGACGCAAAAGGTGAGAGGAAGTAAGGCTGTGCGCACCATTTATGTCATAAACAACATCGAACCCCTGTGCCGATAGACTGGACTTCACGAACTCAAAGTCCTGTCTGTCTCCTTTCAAGTGCAGGATCTAGCCAAACCAAAATTATCATGAGCAGTGAATGGTCCGAATATGAGATGAACCAAGCTCAACAACAAATGCATACCTTGGAAGAAAAATCAGAATAATCAGCGTCTGATTCACCAGGCAATTGTTGAGTAATGGGAGCTTTTCCTCTGGTAAACAAAGTCACCTGCCAGATTTATGAAGATCGACTTGCAGATTGTCACCGTTAGGAAGCTAAACAATGTGGAGATGTAATGGATAAGTAATACCTGGTGACCCTCCTTGACAAGAAGCCTAGACAAAAACACACCAATAAAGCGAGTGCCTCCCATTATAAGGATTTTCTTGTTGCTTGACGCCGAGACGTAGAATCCCCCTTTTGGTTGCCATGCTTTCCTTCTCAACTATTATCAGAAAACGAGCATGGGGGGAGTTATCACTGGGGATCCATGAAGAATGATGATTGAAGGTAAGGTGAAGAACCTGGAATTGGGAGTGAAGTCTGGTTCCGCTGAAATCAGAAAGAGAGGAGGCCAAGGGGGAGAAAGGTAACTGGTTCTGCTGGAGGGAGACAAGCCTTGCCATTCCTTCGGGGCTCGACTTCCAAAGTGCGTCTCCTCGCGCCAACCGCTCAACTCTTTTTGAGCGAACAGTTGGGATAAGGCAGCGACCCACCCACAGCCTCTCATTCCATTTCTATTCCAACACTTGTTGATTGTTATCATTGGTCTCAAAGGGCAGTTCTCTTTTTTTTTTTTTTAAATGCCAGTCAGTGGTCGAGCTCGTTTCACGAAGTTTACAATCACTGGAGTAAACCACGAAAGCACGTAGTAACTGGCTCGGGGGAAGTTAAATCAGCCCCTGTTGGCGGTTGCTGCTGCTGATTGCAGGAGGGGGGCAAATGTCAGTCACACAAGGAATGGTGGCTACGTTCCATTAAATATTTTTAATTAAATTTTATCTCTTAATCAAATAATTATTTATTTTTAAATTAATTATTTTTTATATTTATTATTATTTAATAAAATATTTCACTTTAAAATATAAAGTGATTTATTTAATATGAACACTTTAAAAAAATTAATAATTATACATTAAAAAATTAAAAATATCTTACATTTTTTTAATATCCAACCATAAAAAATATCTTATATTTTTTGATGGAAGGAGTGAAATAATTTTAAAAAATATATTGTTTTAATATATATATATATATATATATAAAACAATTTGAGAAAGATAATATTTCATTATTTATACTTTTACGATATTACCTTTAAGTGAAAAAAGAATTAAAATGATATTGTAGCATATTTTCTCCTATCCAAAATATAAACAATTTTTGAAAAAATTCCATGTCTCAATAAAGTCCTCATTGCCATAAAAATATATATTATTTTTTTATTTTTACTCCTAGTTTCAATTATTAATGCACTTTGTAATGAATGAAAGATACATTTACATAAATATCTAAGTTAATAAATACAAGGGAAAAAGGGAAAAAAAAAATTTACATGTACTAAGTTGCTTATATTTTGAACCAAAATTATTCAAGAGAAAATGCTTATATTTTGGATCGGAAGGAGTAATGATTAAGTCTGTAAGATTTTTTTCAAAAATTTATAATTTTATTGTAAAAAAATAAGTTTATAAAATGTTATTATTGTTGTTTTTCACAAATAACAATAAATACCAAGCATGCTAGAAATGCTAAGTCTCAAAAAATAATAATAGGTTCTCGAACTCTCTTGTCACAGTTTACTTAAATGTGAAGATGCAAAGATATTGAAATAAACAAGTGTTTTGATAATAAGAATGCAAAAATATAGAATTGTAAAGATTACAGAAGCTGGAAATGATTTTAGAAACTATTTGGGAATACAAGATAAAATACTAAAAGCATTAGTAGATATTGTTAATTGATTGTCCCTCCTTTCTTTTGTGACCTTTTATTCCTTTTATAATTATTCAGTTGAGACCATTGCCACCATGAAATTTAGAGCTTGTTTACAATATTAGGGATCACTTATCACAACCCATGAGATTTGTGACATGTCACACCATATTCTCTTAATGATCTCATATGTTTAGACATCTTGAGTTTTAAGGACTACACCATACTCGTGCATGGCACGCCCTTCCTTTCCTGAAAATGGACCTAGTTATGTTTCTCAGGCTAGTCATGTTTGTAAACTCAAATTTCTCATTGGACTAGTGTTTTAACTTTTAGCCCAAACAATGCTTCTATGTGCTAATGGCTGATTGTAATAGGCCATTTGGCATGTTTGGATAAGAATTGGTGCATTATTTTGTTCCCTTAAGCTTCTCAGACCTATAAACCTCTCTGTCCACATCAATCATTCTCTTTGTTCTTTCGTGCTCTTAATTTTCCTTGCCTTTCAAGCTTTTTTGCCATGTCTTCTTACATTCTCCTCTATTCGTCCTTTCGATAATGGTCACTTCAATTGATACTACCTAAAATGTTCAAGCCATCATCCTTGGCAATCTATCTTCCTACTCAAACTACCTTAAGATACCATCTCAGTACATATTAATCTTTCTATTCTCCTTTTCTTACTTCTGGATTGTTCCTTTCTTCTGAAATGGGTTTCTTTTCTCTACTGGGAACATCTAACATTTCCTAGACTTCTTACTTCTCCTCGTTTTTAGTAAGTACTTTATTTATATTATCTCTTTATTTTCCTCATTGTTTTCAACTTTCTAAAATTTTTAACACTCAATTGGGTTTAACACTCCTCCACATAGTTTCACTCCAGCTATTGCGGTCAATGCTAACCACCGATCTATTGCTCTAAAGGAGGTGGAACCATCAAGCCCACAATCCTTGAGCCTTCTTATTGATACAGGCTCTTCTGGTTATAACATGTTATGTACTTTATATGATTCAAGTACATCATCTTCCTTTAGCTTTATAGGACAATTTTGATACAAGCTTGCCTGTTTTGCATTTGTATCGATAATCTCTACTGGTGAGAAACTATCATGAGCCCTTATTCCTGTTGTTCTACTAAATTGCAAAATGAGCATTAAAGAAACTACGCAACAGAGTTTTAGAGGTACCTCTCCTACATAAATCCTTCTTGTTTGTTGTTCCTCATTTTCTTTTTTGTTGTCTCCTTCCTCATGCTTATTTTCTATCAACTTCCTTCTAAAACATTCTTCATTGCTAGGGCGGACATCGTTAAGTGGGGCTAAGTATTTTGTGAGTTCCTAAGCTATTTCTAATTTCAATCTTTCCATAGGTTGTCCCTCTAGACCCACATCCCAACCTAAGGGTTTACCTTTAAATGGTTCCCTCGCAATAGGTGGGGCTAAGTATTTTATGAAGTAATCAAACTTGCATAAGGGCTCTCCTAGGCTATCCCATACTACCTTGGCTTTCTTCGAGCTCTCCATAGGTTGCCATTTTAAGACCATATCATAGCCTAAAGGTCTACCTCTAAATGGTTTTGTCATGCCAGGTAGGGTTGAGTATTTTAAAAAGTAATCAAATTTACCTGAGGGCTCCCTCAGGTAGTCTCATACCACTTTAGCCTTTTCTGGTCTCTTTTCTGTTTGCTCACCTCTTATCCAGACATTTTAGGGCTGTCTATTTCTATGTTTCTTTTGTCTTCCATGGTATTTCCTAACCTTTCGCTTATTATGATCTATATCCACCATTTGACAGTAGCAAATAGTAAAAAATAGGTCTTTATTTACTATTATAGATTCCACCTTTCCCAAAAATTTCAATATGCCTTTATTGATTCGCCCTGTCAAATGGTAGAAAATGGGTCTTCATTTAATACCATGGATTCCTCCTTTCCCAAAAATTTTAATATGCCTTTGTTGATTCGGCCTTACACCACGTTCTTGAAGGCCTAGCAAATGTTAGTACTGTGGCTCTACGAATGGTGATACTAGCAATATTCTTTTCCCTTACACTTCTCCCTTGATGAAATCTTATGGTATATAGGTAATGAGATAAATTTCTCTTTCAATAAGAAGTCAAAGATTTCCTTAATTTTGGAGGTGCTAAAGGTGTATTGTACTGCATTAGGCCTTTTTAGGGCTTTAGCAACAGCCTTCCTTACTAAGGTCGAGCATATGCAATCTCTCACATTTTTTAGCTCTACCACAGCCACATCCAACTTATCGAAATATGTTCCAATAGTCATACACTCACGATAATCTTCTTCTTTCAATAACTCTTTATATCCACAAATTTTGGTAGTGAATTTATAGAAATCTTTAAACTCTATTCCCTATAAGTTCTTCCTTAATTCTATTTTGAGTCTTACCTGTGCTAGCTTGACTACCTCAGCCTCTAGAAGAGGTATATTGTACTTGTCTTTCAACCTCTTAAATCTTACAGGGTATTGATTTGCTATTTCTCCTGCCCTTTGGGCCAATTCGCAAAGTTCTGCGATGCTAATTTCAAGCTTTGCCTTGAAGAATTGTATATGGAATTTATGCTTTGTTTTTAGCCAAGTAAGAATAGAATTGCATGCCAAGGTTGTAAAGGTTGGGTGTGAAGACCCAAATTACTATACCCAACACCACACATAATACTTCAATATCATGAATAGGCTAGCTTTTAAGATGGATAAACTTATTAATTATAACAATTAAATTTCTTCTCATGTAATACACAACTTAAAGTAAGAGAATACATTTATCATATAGATGATGCTTCCTTGGCTACTCACCATGGCTAACAACGCATCTTGCCCCTGATAGGTACTTACTTGCCTTGGTGAGAAGCCACTTGCTTACCTAGGCCTGTACTCTACTTGCCCATGCGGATAGCTTGTCTCACAACATTCAATTTCAACCATTCCTAATAATTTTAGATAAAATACAATTTATATGAAAGTGTTTCAGATCATAATCAATCACATTTAATCATATAAATTATACTACAATTCCTAAGCATACTTTTAAATAAATTAAAGTCTCACAAGATGAAATAGAGCTAAAATCTAGCTCGAATCGCTCACACATCCAAAGATAAGCTAAGGCCTTTAAAATCAGTCTAGGCCATAATATATCAAGTAATCACCATAATTTAAATATAAACTACATCTTCCTATTATTGGAAAAATCTTAATTTAAATATATTGCAAAAAAATCGCCAGAATTATAAGCCCTAGTGTTTTGTTCTCAACATCTCGCTCCTTCCTTGCCTTTTTCTTCTCTTGAAAATGGTAAAAGTGACTGGTGAGATTCCATACAAAATCTTAATAACTAGGATGTTTAAATCAACATATAACACAATGGTAACCTACAGTCATACATGTAAAGTCTCCCTTATTAATCTATAATTAACTCCATAATCAAGGTAATTATAGGACTAACATAAATAAATTACCAAGTTTGTAAAATTTATATAAATAGGATCCTAAGTTTTTAAAACTTAAAATGCTATAAAAGCATTTCATAAACTAAAATTAGAGCAAAACATATATAAGAAAGCATAGACATTATACAAGATAAGATAACATTAAATTGAGGCCAAAAGAGGAAGAATAGTGATTTTGGAATAATACACTACAGCATACAAATTTATATTGATGCATAAAATGCAGAAACCCGTGACAGCAAGGCAGATTTTCTAACTAAACTTTTGATGTGGCTCATTTCTCCATTCGATGTCTGATTAAAGTGATTTAGGTGTCTACAAAAAGGTTTCTCC